ACTAACTGTACAATATTATTTGCAAAATAAATAAATAACATATCTATGAAAACTAATAACAACAACTTAATCAATGTTATTATTCTAGTTTTAATTCAGCAATATGATTTTGACAACGTTTGCCTAACATTTGTTCGAGATTCTACGTTGGGTAAGTAAAATATTTTGATCTTTTTCACAAAGTATAAGAGTCAAGTATTTTATTTTACAAAAGTATTTACTGCTATAGATGTCAACGGTTGTTACACACTATTTTATTGTGAAATAAAAACAATTTGTAAAATAAAATAAAATAAAAAGTTGTGGCTGCAAGACACCAAAGCCCTTTCCCGAAATGTGAGTATATATATATATACCTAAGCCTCTATTTCTTGGACTACAAGAAAACCTGAAAAAGGCCAGAAACAGAAGAGACTTGTTTCAATCGTCCTCAGTGAAGACCTTAAATATGAAATCACGGAAACGTCTCGAGTACAGCCTCGGATCAACGGCTGATATTGAAGTAGGATCATACTGGATACTCTTGTAAGCATGTTCAAGTTTCTTAGTGATGTCGTAATCTTGAAGAATGTCTATGATTCCAAAGATCATTACAACCTCGTAGTACTCTCCTGTTGGTTCCCCAACTAGCTGGAGCTCACAGTCGCTCCTTCTCATTGTCCTCTCTGCTCGAGCCGGCATGTTGCCTCCTAGTCTGATACTAGCCCACCTGAAACAATCAACACATTTATTAGACTTCAAAATCAAAGAAGTTTGAGTACTAACTTTTGTTGTGTGTTTACTTACCTTGTGGGATCAGATAGAAGCTGATCAACGTCTACTCTGGAGAGACGTGGAGCTGATTCATCTTCATTTTCACCTGGTTAAGGAAACACATAGTGTGATTGTTACATTCTAATGAAAAGTATTAAGAATAATGTATCCCACATCGTGTATTCAATGGGATTTTAAGTAATATATAAAGGGTTAGGGTCAATCGACTAATCACCAATTGGTTTTAAGTTGGAAACCCTTCCGGTTTCAAGTTGGAAACCCATAATAGACCCGAATTTAACAAAGAGACATGTTTTTTTTTTAAAGAATACAAACCATGAGGCGTGCGTGCTCCTGAAGGTATCAACTCTCCAGCAACTGATGCTTCTCTAAAATGGATCCCAACCAAAAGACTGTAGTCCATGATCCTCTCCTGTTCAAGAAACTCGCAGTCTTTGTCGACTTGTCTGACAAGAAACACAACGGTCATAATAAAATAACGGTGACCTAGGTCAAAGGAAGTGAAGAGATTGATAAATAGTTGGTTTACTAACCTAATGAATTCTTGAAACCAAGCTTTCTGTAGTCTGAAAATGAAATTCAGATCAAGATCTTTCAAGATTGTATTTGAGTTAATTTCTGATTCCGGTTTATCGGTTGTGCGGCCAAGAGAAGATCCTTTAAGATCAAAGCGTCTATGTATAGAGTACTCTGAACAAAATAGATTTCCCATAATGACAAACCGCACTTTCTTTTGGATTGTTCCAGTCAACTTCACACAGTGGAGACCGTAGAATCTAATCACCAAAGTGTTCTCAAATGCTCTAACATGGTTGTAATAAGCTGCAAGCATTCTCAGAAGCACCTGTATCATTTAATTCAAGAAAGCAGTTAATATATGTACGTTGATGTCACACATTCTTTATATTAACTCACTTTAGTTTCAGACTTTTTCATTGTCTTTATCATGTAACGATCATCGTTTGTTAAGTAGAAAAAACTTCCACTTTTACCAGGGGATGATAGCTCCCTAAGTGCATCATTACCGCAGATTGATAACATGTAATCAGCTGGGTCTACCTTGAATAGCTTCCTCAAGCTCCTGAAATATAGGAATATTAGTATAGCATATTGTAAGAATAAGCAGCACCAATAAGAGCTAAGTAGAGAGGTTAATTAGTGTTATGGTTTCTCACCTAAAGACTAATGGACAATAGTCTTTCCATTTGAACTCACAAGATTGGTGAGGAGGTGTGTATTTGCTTCCTTCTGGTGGAAATCTTGTCCATACTTTCTCCTTTGGATCAAAAGCTGAATGCTTAAGATCAAGAGACACAACCTGAGCTTGTCTCCCAACAGCATGTCTGTGTAAAGCCAAATTATTAAACATCAACAGAGCTTCAACTTATAATATAACTCAATATTCAAGAAATCGATAGACGGTAATTATGTGTTTTATAGAAAAATAGTGGTTAGTTGGACGCATGGCCGGGTCCTGGACCAAGCCGGATGAAACATTGGTTTTGAGCCCCCAAAATTTTAAAGAAAATTACATGTAGATAGGTCCCTAAATCCGTAAAAAAAATTAGGTGAAATCGTTAAGAAATTGTCTTAGACCCCCTAATTCTCAGGATCATCCCTGGGTCGACGTGGATGCCTATACCGATTTTAAATGATTGATATAACTTATGAAGAAGTAAGGTGAGATAAGTACCTGATTCCAAGCTGTAGATTAAGCATAAGCTCATAATTCCGGTGACCTTTCGATATGGTCTCACCTTGCTTCTTCCCTGCCTTTGGCAGTCTCATAGGCACAGGACTAGGTCTCAAGCTCTGAATGAAGCCTTCAGCCTCAAGTCTCATTATCTCAGCATCTAAATCTCTCCTTGTGTTTGAATCAATATCAGCAGCACCTTCACCGCTCTCACTTCCCCACATATTCATCTTCTCAAACGCTCTATCCAAACCAACACTTACCCTCCCATCAACCGATATCCTCCTCGGCTTCTCTACACGCTTTGAAGAGTTCCAAACCGATAGCTTCTTCTGTGAAGGCAACACAGGAACCCTCTCTCCACTACATATCTTATACTCACTCAGATTATCAAACACCTCTTTAGGATCCCATTCAAGAGCCCCTTCGTTCCCTGATGGATAGTAAGTACCATTCATTTCTTCAGGATCTTTAGACCAATGACCAACGTAGAAACTACCATTCTCCCATTTGAATGTCCCGTTACCACTAGGGAAACCATCATCCCAAAACCCATCGTATCTACTACCATCCGTGGACCAAACAAAAGTACCTTTACCACACATAGTACCGTTCTTCCATTCACCAATGTAATAACTCCCATCTCTCCAACGATACTTCCCTTGAGACTCTTGCAACCCTCTCCTCCATTCACCATCATACACATCTCCATTTGCAAAACTCTTGATCCCATGTCCATGTTTCAAGTTCATCACCCACTGACCTCTATAAGTATCTCCACTAGGACCTGTATAAGTACCAATCCCATCCATATATCCGCTTTTGAATTCGCCTTCATACATTGCACCAGAAGGCCAACCAAACTTTCCTTTCCCCATGGTTTTCCCGTTGTACCATTCGCCAATGTACATGCAACCATCTGTCCATAGATACTTACCGTGCCCGTGGGGGAAACTATCATACCATTGACCTGTGTAGTAGTCTCCATTGGGAAGTACTCTCTCTTCATGGTAAGATTCACCTATGGTGCTTGTGTTGGTGCTGCTCTCGTCATCATTCTCCTCGGTCGGAGTAGCATCATCATCTGTCTGTAGAGCTACTGGTACCGTCCCAAATATGCTGTTTGCTCGTTTCTTGGCTTGTTGGGTCTTTCTCATTGTCACCTCCCAAGCTTTTAAAACACAGCTTTGTTCCTTGCTCATTTTTTTTTCTTTTTTAAATAATATCCCTAAAGAAACTTATGTTTTGTTGTCTAAACAACAAATCCTATAGATGTACACATTAACAAGAGAAGATCATGAACTCTGTGCTTTAAACCTAAAACCATTTGACCAAAAGCAGCATGAAGAAATCTTGCAATGCTTTTTAACTCTGTAACTTCCTGTCACTTATTAAATCATATGGAAAAAATAATGTTTTGTCTTTTAGATGTGCAACATTGTGGGAGTGAATGCTGCTCTGAACGATCATCCAAACCTATCAAAGATGAAAGAGAGAAAAAAAAACAATGGCCAAAAGAGTTAAGGGGATCAAAACAAAACATCTCTCCGACATTTCATCTTTTCTTGTCAAAGAAGAAACCGTTCATCTCCACAAACCACTGAGAAAGCCTTCAAATTTAGACTCATTTCTTTCTATTCTTAGCATTTCCGAGTTTTCCTCTCACAAAACATACATTACATCTTCTTTTAACAAAACAAATTAATAAAACAACTGATCAACTTCGCCTACGGCCCTACGCTATATGATGATGTATCCAATGTGACAGACATTATCGGAAACAGAGACAACTCAAACTAGAACTCAAGGCTTGAAGAGGGATACGATACAATCTAGAACTCAAGGCTTGAAAATGAAATGAAATGAAATAGTATAAGGTCTTATAGTTTTTTGGCGAGGAGGAATACTCAATGGCTAACAGTCTTTGAAAACTGGAAAATGCTAATTAGATATTTTATTTTTATATTTATATAATTTTTTGGCAATTTTTAAATAGAAATATTTTGGTATTTTAATTATTTTAATTTAAAATGCTAATTAGATATTTTATTTTTATATTTATATAATTTTTTGGAAAAAAAAAAAAATTTATCATCCCACAATCGCAAATGTTAGCTGTAACCAACTTTTGAATTTTAGAAATTAAAAACAATTTGAATCAGTTTATAATGTTTTCTATGATTGTAGCAAAATGCTAACAACCATTACCAACTGCAAAAGTTGTATTTATGGGTGATGGTGGGAAAACTAGTCAAGCCTAGTCGTTTCCAAAATTCAAGAATCTTTTATTTCATGACGACAAAGCCAAAGACCAGAGTGAAACAAAACCTTTTATTGTCGGAAGCTCACACCGATATTGTTTTTAAATATTAACATAATTCACAAGGCCCCCTAATATTCAATCATAATCTTGATTCTTTTCTTCTTAACGGTCTTACTTCTCGGATACGTCTTCTTAATCATAAAAAATAAAACTCCCTTCTCTGTTTCTTTCCTAGGTTTTTTTTTTTTTTCCTCATAATTGGAATCAAAGATGAGTCGAATCGGTTTAGTGTTGTCCGATCTAGTACTGTCTTTCATGTGGATATGGTCAGGAGTTCTTGTCAACATCTTAGTCCACGGAGTACTCAGGTTTAACCGCAAGGATACGACTGGCGAGATCGTTGGATATGCACTCTCTGTCATCACCATGTTCATCTTCTCTTTCCTTCAGAAACTCACCAAAGGTGGACTTTATAACCCTGTGGCCGCTTTGACTTCTGGAGTCTCTGGTGGCTTCAGCAGTTTCATCTTCACCGTCCTGGTTCGAATCCCCGCCGAGGTTTGGTTCCTTTTACTTCTTTAAGTGATCTCTGGACTTTCCACATTATGTGAAAAGGTTAAAGGCTCTGTTTGTTTTCAGGTGATAGGATCGGTTCTTGCGGTTAAACATATCATTCACATTTTTCCTGAGATTGGGAAAGGACCAAAGCTAAATGTTGCAATCCTTCATGGTGCTTTAACGGAGGGGATACTAACATTTTTCATAGTACTGATCTCAATGGGACTATCAAGAAAGATCCCTGGAAGTTTCTTCATGAAGACTTGGATTAGTAGTATTGCTAAGTTAACTCTCCATGTTCTTGGAGCTGATCTAACCGGCGGATGCATGAATCCAGCAGCGGTTATGGGATGGGCTTATGCACGAGGTGAACATATAACAAAAGAGCATTTACTTGTGTATTGGCTTGGACCTGTGATGGCTACTTTGCTAGCTGTTTGGTTCTTCAATGTTGTGTTTAAGCCTCTTAGAAAAGAACAAGAGAAACCTAAGGCTAAATCTGAATGAGTAAATGAGTTTTAGATCTCATATATTTAATCAGCTGATCATTTCTTATTAGATTTCATTATATATATATATATATATATATATATATATATTTATTTATTTTTATTTTTATTTTTTGATAACTTTTGGGCTCCGGTGACCAAGGTCAACCGACTAATCACATGAGGCTCGCAGCAACTGCGTATACTTGCCACTTAAGGTAGCCTGGGTAGTCAGCGGGATTCGAAACCGGGTCCTTAGTCCGAAGGTGTCTCAAGGCTACTAGCCCGTCATCGCTTGGTTTCATTATATATTATCAATGTAGCATACTCAACTATATCAATCAGTTCAAAAAAAATCTGAATTTGGTAAACTCCATTGTGCAGTAAAGTACTTGTTTTATTACAATAAAACGAGTTTTTCTCAGTTTAGACCATTCAATTCCAAGAAATCAAGAACCAGCCATAAACTCAAAAGACTTGACGTTTACAGCTACTAATAGACAAGATTAGGCTCAAACTCAGCGAAATCAACAGATCCAGACTCAACAGGAGGCATGAGATAAGCAGCCAAGATCTCAGAGACTAAACCAGCAATGAGAGGAACCTTCTTAAGGTTCTTGACAAAGGAAGGATCATCAGTTTTTCCTACAGCCATCAGCTTCTCATAGATCACAACCATTCTATCTAGTTTCCTCTTGAACTCAGGGTTCTCAACATCCAACACAGCTGGGAATATTCTTGCCGTGGTACGGTTTGTCTGAAACAAAAGTACCCACATTTTCAGACACACATCTTACTTACTATTAATCTTGTGGTTTCAAGTTAGTTTTTACCTCAATGATGACGTGCATGTCAAACTCCTTAGTGTTTAACCCAATACCCTCATAGAAATCAGTTCTTTGACAATCATTGAGATACATTGTCACATAAACCTACACAACCAAACCTCTTACCTCTTAGGCCAATGTCTTTAACACATTTTTAGGTAGAGAGTTAAGGGTTTACTAACCGAGAGGCAGAAGAAACGAGACCAGAGCTTAGCTTGCCAATCATTAAGAAACTGAGGCTGAGCTTTCATCAAAGCAGAGAAGAAATCTCCATGACGGTTCTCATCTTGGCACCAATTCTCAAAGTACTTGAAGATAGGGTAACATTGGAACTCAGGGTTTTGCTTGAGGTGTCTGTAGATTGTGATGTATCTCCAGTACCCGATTTTCTCGGATAGGTAAGTGGCGTAGAAGATGAATTTGGGTTTGAAGAAAGTGTATTTCCTTGCTTTTGTTAAGAAACCCAAGTCAAGAGCCAAGTTGAAATCAGACAAACCCTTGTTCAAGAACCTGCAAGAAAAGTTTGTTTATCAGTTCAAGAACAAAGAATCAAATAAAAGAAGAGAGGTTCCTTGTTGGGAGATCTTACCCGGCATGTCTTGCTTCATCTCTGGACATAAGAGAGAAGATCTCAGCCACAACAGGGTTTGTTTTCTGCAATGCCATTAGATCAAAAGATTAAGACCAAGTCAATGAAACAATGTTCACGTCTCATATGTCCTTAATTCCACAATGAGTAGCTTCAAGCATTGAAGCATTATGTAGACAAGAAACACTAAATGAGAACAACTCTAGAAACTAGGCATGTGCACATTTATCCGAAACCGAATCAAATTACATAAATATTCCATATTTCTCAAACCAAAAAAACGAACCAAAACCGAAAAGCGAATGGATACCTAAACTTTTAAAATAACTATTATATACCTAAAATATCAAATATATTTAGTTTATAAATAACCAAATATTTTTAAAATACTATAAATCGAATTAACCAAAAACCCGAATTATCTACATATTTTTATCTGAAATATTTAAAATTATCTAAACTATCTTATATTTTTCTTCTAACAATCCGAATTACCCCATTTTTAACCTTCCGAATTACCCCATTTTTAACCTGAAAAACCTGAATTATTCGATGTTTTTACCTATATTATCTGAAAAACTGCAAGTGAACCGAAACCAAATTGGACCCATTTTTGCGATAGTAGATGATTCTTAATCTTGTTATCTGAACCGAATCAGAAACCGAAATAACTAAACCAAAACTGAACCTAAGTTTGTAAATAACTGAATGATTCATCTCTAGAATCCATGAAAACCAAAATATCCGAACCAAAAACCGAACACCCAACAACACTCATGTCAACTAGAAACACACAGAACTGAAACTAGAAGCTACTAACTAGTTCAAAACAGTCAAAAATTTTGAATTATTAACATTCTCAAAAGATTACCTTGAGTCTTCTACCAAGCTCCTTGTAAAGAAGGAAACCAGAGAACTCAGCAGTACAAGACCGTTCAAGAAACTCAACAAAGATCTGTCTGAGTGGCCCTTGCAACTTGTCAGCAGCTTCTTTAAACTCCTTGTTCCTCACGAAATGCGTCTGATTGTAATCAGTCTTGAACTCTTGAAGCAGAGCAATGAACTCTTCCTCGTTAAGGTTCTTGTTGATCTCCGTGTTGAAAAGCTGTTCCATCTCCTCGAAGTCTGTCGTGTAGAATCTTGGAGTCAGAAGCGACTCTTGTATCTCTTTCTTCGTGCCCTTCTTGGACTTGGAGGTTGCGGTGGCTGGAGGAGGAGGCGTGGAGGTGGCTGACATTCTGATCACGGTGGAGAAACGTCGGTTGGTGAGGCATGTTCTTGAGTTAGAGAGGTTTGGGGATGCGAATTTGGAGATTGGCTTCACTAACATCATTTCAGCTGCCATTGTTAAGAGTTGCAGAAGCAATAGAGACAGAGCAAGGACTCAAGGAGCTGGAGGAAGAAGATGAGGCTGTAATGAGTTTTGTAATGAAAAAATCTCATCCAGTGAAAATCTGAGCTCTGGTGTGGGCGCTTGACACGTGGTCAAATTCTATTGGTTATTGTTGATTGCATTGTCTTCTTGATAATAAATATGTGATAATATGAAAAATTAATAAATAGAAAATGAAAATCAACCAACCAATATATAAATAAATAAGGGAAATAATTCAGAAATACAATTTGTATACATTACAAATTTGTGGTCCAAATCATTTTAAGAACAAAAATATGAGAAAATATGATTCTGGTGATATCCAGATGAGACATTCTGGTAATATAAATACAACTAAAAATGAAAAATAAAATAAAATAAAACAATCTAACGCTCAAACTCAAAACCTACAATGTTTTTTATTTCTCTGGATTTTTTCCCCCACAATTATATGACAACACAATTAAAAGAATGACAAAGAACAATGTCCACTTCTCCAGCTTCAAGCACTTCCCTAGCAAGTTAACAAAAAAAAGAGTAATGTTAGGGCTGAGAAAATTGGTTTCTTCTAAAGCAAGCAACAAAGGCAATGCTAAATTTTGTTACCTCTATTTACGAAGCATTGGTGAAGTAGATTGAGGAGAGCTTGTTCCATTTTCAGATCTTGCGTTTGTATTTATACTCCCCACACTCCATTTTTGGTCATACCCTTCATCCTTTTCTTCATCATCAATAGAGACTCTAACATAGGACACTTGTTTCTCTGCATCTCCATCATCATTACTTGAAGATCCACTTGGTTTTTGTCCATTTTCCTCATCCTTGTTAACACCACTCTCACTGGTTAAAAAAGGGTCAAAAGGAGGGATGATTCCCTCATTCTGATCATGATGGTGATGGTGATGGTGATGATGATGATGATCTTTAGCCTTCAAGTCATCTTCCTCACAATCATCCTCAAGGTCTTCATAGTTTAGATTCCTGAGAAGCTCAGGGAGTGAGGAACTTTTTCTACCCTCTTCAACAACTCTTCCACCTCCCATTTCAATATCAGTCTTCTCTTTAGAGTTAATAACACTTTGGCCTGGATTTGAAGTAGGAGTTTCAACCATCATATAGTCTTCTTCCTTCACCAATGATCTAAACTTGTTCATGGATGGAGGAACCTTAGAGAGAAAAATTTCCCTTAAGTTCCCAATTATTCCTCTGTTGTATGGATTCTCCTTCTTATCATAACGGTAACGGAAATTCTCATAAGTAGTCTGCAAAAAAACAGATTTCACCATTAAAACAAAGAGAAAACATGAAAGATAGGAACAAGAGGATGTATCTTTCTAAATCACCTGGTTAGTGCAGATGAGATAGGAATGAAATATTGTGAGTCCACCAACAAACCAAACGGTAATGAAGCTGTAAACTATGAGAATATCTGATAATACATCATGGGATATAGCTTTCCAGATGCTAATCCTCTCATCCACATGTCTTTGAAATATGTTCAACCAAGAAAACACAAACACATATATGCATAGAGTGGTTGATGTTGATATAAACATGAAGAAGAACCGGTAATTTCTCTGCAAAAAAAAAATAGTTGAAAACATTCTCAAAAACATATAACATATGCGGAACAACTGCAGTGCGGTTCTAATAGTAACAAAAACATATAAATATATAGGTATACGTAAAGATTTTTGTTACTATTAACTGCGGTGCGGTTCTAATAGTAACAAAAACATATAGATACGTAAAGATTTTTGTTACTATTAACTGCGGTGCGGTTTCATACGTTACCATTCAAAGCCATCTAGAAGCAAACTCATTTTACTAACTTACCAGTCCAATGCATTGACCAACCCAGGGACAATGATGATCAAATCTCTGAACACAGTTGTTGCAGATGGAACAATGAGAAGCACGAGGTGGACGGTAAAGCAAACAAGTGTCACAGAATTTGACTTTTACGGTATGGTCATTAACTTTTACATCTTTGAGTCTTGGTAACCTTATGTTTGGGGTTTTACCACTAACCCATTCCATGGAAGGAGTAGTTGATTCAGGTAAATCATCTGATTCAGGTGGCTTTAAACTTCTAGGCACAATCCCAGGGTCTCGACCAGATGTCATGAATAGGAAAAATATGTCCTGTAAGAAAAATTAAGACAGTAAAAAAAAGAGTCATATATACAGAGTTGGGAAAGAAGGAGACATACCAATAGGGTGAGTATCCAACACACGGCGAGAATTGGAATAGAGAGTTTTGGATTCTTGGTGTGATGGTCTTCCATTTTTAAGTACATTTTTACAAGGAACGTTGCCGCCGGAGCAAGGATCAAGATGGTTGTTAGGTATAGAGATGATGCATCTGGACCAAAGATTACCCTCCCACAACATATAAATTTCTGGAAGGATCAAAGTCAATGACAAATCAAGAAGCATGAAAATAAAACTTAGACCGCTTAAAGTAATCACTAACAATGGCCTAAAGTGAAAGTAACCAAATATTAAATAAGATCATTTGCTTGTTTTTTTTTTGCAAGTACCAAAGTGGAAAAATCAAGACTGTCTGAAAGTCTATGACTTGGACTCAAAGGAAACCAAATGGTAAGTGAGAGTCCATGTCAAAATATTGTGTGATCAATATTCTCCAGACAAGAGAAGACTAAAAGTGAAAAGAAAGCAAAAAAAAAAAAGAGAAAGTTGAGAACTTACATTGCTTCCTCTCCAAACTTGATAGAGTCTCTTGAGTTTGGTCTCATTCCTAGCCATAGCTAAAGGGTTAAGAAACACCAAAGTGAAGAACTTTCGAAGAACCCAGAGTCAGAAACCCATCAGAGAATACAAAATGATCGGAGAAAGGATCAGATCAAGAAAAAAAAAACAAAACCCAGAAACGGACAAGTCTCTTGTTTCCTCCGAAGAAAAAAAATTCAAAGTTTCAAATTTTGATTGTAAGTTCGAGAGGGAGAGAGACAGAAAAAACAGACACTGTCCTCTCTCACTCGAAATCACAAAGAAGATTATTTCAGATGTCCGCAAAATTGCAATCCCTTTTGAAAAAAAAAAACTTTTTTTTTATTCGCTTTTCATTACCGAATAATTAGATTGGAGTTCATGTCTTAACGGGGAACATAGTATTGTAATAAGGAAAAGTGGATTATTCGAATAGGATGTTTGTAAGTTTCTTGTTTAGTTTTTTAGATTTATGAATTAATTATTGTTTATTTCATGGTCGGCCAACTATATACTATCTACAAATAATAGATTTGTGAAAGGCAAGTCAAGTCATGCCTCCTGCTCCATCAAACGTGCTTCACACATAGATCTTTTTCCATATCTTGGTTTTAATCATTTCCTTTATATAATGATTAGCCTCTGCAAAGATTAAAAGGTTTATTCGTTAGTTTGTTCTATCAATGCTTTCAAATAAGTTGTATCAGATGTATCTTATATTCTTATTACATATATAGGAGTCTACATCTATAACTTTTCAACATTCATAGAAAAAAAGTAAGTCAACTTGATTAAGGATTACACAAATAAGATGATGATAGTGACTAGTGAGATTGACTAATTAATTATACAGCTTTTGCCCAATTGGTAAAAATTGAGTATTTTGTTGGATCATCTCAAATGATACTCCATAATTTCTTTTATCTCATTTTAAAATAGAATAACTTATTATAAAATTGGATTTACTTCAATAGTTTATTCTATAATAGTCAAATATAAAAGATGTTATTATTTCACTCTAAAGTAGAATAAAAATAATATTCTTCTACATTTACTATATTATAAAATAAAATAATTCTATTATAAAGTAAATCATTAAATCAAATACAACTCTATAATAGAGTTCGAATGACATACAAAGAAAATTATAAAAATACCAATGTACCATTAGAGATGTTCTTAACCATATAATTACTGTATAAAGTGTCAATGAGTCTTTAAATCTTTTATTCTTTTTATGAGAGGAAATCTTCTGAACAAGTATCAGACATATGATTCCGTATAGCCTTTATTTATGTAATCTAAGAATTATTGTCACTAGATCAAACTTTTCCTTGGTTTAAATCTTCTCATCCTTTTATCTTAGTTATATGCTTTACTATGATACAATACTTCTACATTGTATTCAGAGTCTTGTCTATTTTTCTTGAAAAACATTGACCGTAAGACCCAAGAAACACCACATATATATAAAACCCTAAACAATGAAATACACCATTTTGAATTACAACGCAAGAAACAACTATAAACAATACACTAAATCTCCAACTACTGTTCTACATGCGAAAAGGTTTAGAAGTCATTTTAACAAGTAAAGACAGAGGTAGATAGATGGCTTTGAAATTACAGAAGTAAAGTCCTTACACATGTTTGTTCTGTTCCTTGCCTTATCTTGATCTCACATTCAACCCTTAAGTTTCTCCTTTTAAACTCCCTGGCCCTTGTTATACCGTGCCAATAGATGCAGCGCCTTCATCTACACTTCTTGACAGTTCCGTTAAAGCACAAAGCAGCTACCATGATCTGGTTTTTCTACTGCCCATTTCCGTGTCTTGTGACTCAAAGGCTCTGACCACCTCTGAGGCAATAGAACCCACCTCCACATCTTCTTCTTCATCTTCTTGCACCCAATCTCTAAAATTAACCAAAGGTGGTGGGATTTTAGACAAGAACAGCTCCTTGAAGTTCTTTAAGACACTTTTTCTGTAAGGATTCTCCTTCTTATCATAATGGTTCCGAAAATTCTCACAAGTCGTCTGCAAAAATAACATAAACAAAAAGAATCAGACAAACAAGAGTAATGTAATAAGTGTTGCTTGTTAAAGAAGCTAAAGAATCTTGCCTGGTTGGTACAGATTAGGTAGAAGTGGAAGACAGTAAGTCCACCAACAAACCAAACGGAAACAAAGCAGTAGAGAGCAAGAACACCTAGTATCAAGTCATAAGCTATGAGGACATAGAATTGGCCATGGACTTCAAGCATGCTGACCATTGAGAAGGCAAACACGTAGATGCAGAGGAGTGTTGAACATGATAAGAAACATACGAAGAACGGATAGTTGCGCTGCAAAGAACATGATACCATGTTATTAAATATTAAATTAAATAATAAATATAGTTAAATAACTTAATCTATTAGTTAATTTTTAGATTAAATATAATATTAAATAATAAATATAGTCAAATAACTTCATCTATTAATTAAGTTTTAGATTATAAGTAACAAAAACTCCACATATTTTATGGTGTTCAAAAAAAAAGTAACAAAAACTTTCAGATTAATTATTATACATTTAATTTACAATAAATAGTATAAATACATATTAAATTAATGATAATTAGTTATAATTATAAAATAAAGCTCTTAAAATTTAGATATTAAAATTAAATAAATACATACTTAATAAAAATTAAATATTGAAATAACTAATATGTATATTATCTTATAATATAGTGGATACATCATAAGATCCTAGTCAATTCTTTGCTTTGGTTACAAGAAACGAATTTTCAAGGCAAAAAGACTTACCAAGGCAATGCACTGACCAACCCAAGGACAGTGATGATCAAACCTTTGGACACAGTTGTTGCAAGTTGAGCAGTGAAACGCGCGAGGAGGACGGTATAACTTACAAGTTTCACAGAACTTAACCTTGACGGTGAAGCCATTCACCATTACATCTTTTGTGCGAGGTAACTTCGTGTTTCCTTTACTCACCAATTCAAGTGATTGTGTGATAGCCTCAGGTGTTTCTTCTTTATTCCTTGGGATGATACCAGGGTCTCTAGCTGATGTCAAGAAGAGAAATGTGAAGTCCTACATAACAATAAAGAAGTAAGAGAAGCATGAAGGTGGCTCTTTCAAGTATGTTGCTTGGTTTGCAAGGTAAGTGGTTTATTATACCATGATTGTGAGAAGGATTGCAGGAATCAAAATCAGAGAGTGGAATAAAGGGCGGTGATCTCCGATTAAGAAAGCTATTCTGATGCAGAAAGTGATAGCTGGTCCTCCTATCATACATGTGGTCAAAATAAGTGAAGATGCGTCTGGACCAAACACTAGTCTTCCCCCACAGAAAAATTTCTGAACACATGAAAATAGAGATTAGTACACTTCAGAACAGCATAGACAGCAATAAAGATCTTGTGTTTGTTACAATCAACACAAGAAACAATCATATACACAGACATGGATCTTGTAAGGCTAAAACATATGAAGAGGACGTTATGTATCTTTAAAGTAACACAAATGTGTGAAACATGAAACAAAAACATATACAAAGGGAGCTTTGATGCTATTACCAAATTAGAAGGCTAAAACATATGAAGAGGAGATTACGTTTCTTTTAAGTAACACAAACTCTATAATAGAGAAACCATAATAACTAGAAACTCAGGGTAATTCTTAGTTACCATTGCCATAAAAACCCACAATGTGGTTAATAAAATGAATCATCATACAAAAAAAAAATTTGAATTATGGAGATAAAACATATGAAGAAGTGTTTACATTTTTGCCTGGCCAGACTTGATAGATTCTTTTACGTTCTTGATTCTGACAAGACATGACTTGTTTCTTTTGGTCGGAGAATGAAACTGACTAATTGTTCTTCGCCGTTCCAACGTTCAAAGAACCCACATGTTCATCTCCGATGTCTTCTTCTCTACGTGTTCTTGCTCTCTCTCTCTCTCTCTCTCTCTCTCTCTCTCTCTCTCTCTCGCCGCTTGTGATTTAAACCGGCGATTTCAATAACCTTTTTCTGATAATGGTTTTCTGTTTGAGAGATGTGATATGTTTCTCTCTTTCTCTATCTCCCTCCATAGATATGTCCTCCGCCATTGGAACTTCCTCAACACCAACATCCTCCTCTGGAACAACCTTAACATAGCTTTCTCGCCATCTCACAACAAGAAAAGCCAAGTGTCATGAGTTTTATAACTTCTGTTCAAACCGAATAAAACTATGCTATAATTGCTAAACATAACCAACCCGAATTTGAAAACAAAAAAAAAGTCGGTTCGGTTTATAACTTCTGTAATTGAACCGGAAATCAAAACTAAACCGGACTACCAAGAAAAATAACGAAACTCGAATCCATACCAAAGTGAAAACCGGATTGGTTCGGATCAAACCTGATCCGTTGATTAAAAAAGCTTATCCAGAAACTAAAAAAACTTCAAAATGAATGTCTGAAGGCGAAGTTCTTCACACTCAAAGAAGATGTCTCTTCTCTGTTTCAACTCTCTCGCTCCTCTCTCTTCTCAAAGGCTTCAACTTTCGTCTTTCACTTCACCAGGTACGCTTCTTCACTTATTTCTCTATGCTTTAGCTTCGTTTAAGCTGAAGAGTATGGAATTAGACTTTCATTGAGTAATTTCATCGAACACTTTTTAAAGATTTGATGCTTGTTAGGTTTTACTGTTGAAAGCTTTAACCTCTTGGTTTCTTTCATTGTATGAATTTTTCAGTTTTGAGCCTTAAACCCAACACTGTTGAGTCTAAGAACAGAGTCTCTCTCAATGCTTACAACTTGAGCTGTAACTATGGAAGAGGAGTGATTGTGAAGGCAGCTGCTTCTGGCCTTGACGGAGCTGAGACTGAGAGCAATGAGGAACCACCTAAGAGCGTTGTCGCTGCTGTTCCAGTGGATAAACTACCATTGGAATCAAAAGAAGCTAAAGAGAAGCTACTCCTGGAACAGAGGATGAAGATGAAGCTGGCCAAGAAGATTAGGCTAAGGAGGAAACGTCTGGTTCGTAAGCGGAAGTTGAGGAAGAAGGGTCGTTGGCCACCTTCCAAGATGAAGAAGCTCAAGAATGTTTAGAGCTCTGATGATCACTCTATGCTCTCTCTTTTTCTGTAATGTTGTTTGTAAAATTTCTGGAACCATTGTTTTTGGATTAATCTCTCAAGCTAAGTTCTTTAAGAGGATTCATTTCAAAGAGTGAACAGTCTTAGATAGAACCATTACAAGGAGAGAGCGGTTTATAGATAGAGACAAAAAGTTTGGAGCTTGCATTTGGTTATCAAGGAAGAACATGTCAGCGGAAGATGAGAGGATAGGTGCAACAGAATCCAGTGCTCCAACACTGCAACAAAGTTTATTATTAAAGACTGATTCATCAAAACAGATTCTATCTACTCAAATACTTTGCAGGTATGAAGAGACTTTAGTTAAAGCATATGGCTTACCACAGAAAGGAGTGGACCTTGCTTGAACTTATCATGGAATGAAAAGGAGAGAGCTTCAGGGTTTTCTCCAGGTCCTCTTATGAAACCACTATGAACATAAAAAGCATAGGTTATTCTTTGGATTTAGACTATGCACAAAAGAAAAGGCCAAGACTCATGGATGGATATAATAGTTGTAGTTTTACTTACACAAGTGAAGCAGAGACAATAGGTGTCCTTCGAGTGTCGTATATAGCAATCAAACCTTTATAATTTTCATCACCTCCTTTGAATGACACAACCAATCGTTCCCCAGATGCATCCCACGCTATCTTCTTGATTCCCTCGCTGGTTGGTCAGTTATGAAACCCACAAAAAAATGAGAAAAGACAAAATAAAGGCATCTCCATTGAATTTAGTTTAAGGAGCAAGCAGATTATTTACCTGCCAGTGAAAGAAGCTATCTCTGGTAATTCAACTGGTAGCAGATGAGCATCTGAAAAATATCAAAACAAGAGGATCAGTATGCTAATTAGTACACATTTCTAGTAGCATACACAAACTTCAAAATTTATACATACCCAAGGATGGTGGCTTGGATGAGAAATGAACTGAGCCCAGTGTTGAAGATTTTGAAAACGAAATCAAGATGAAGCGTCCTTCGGGATCCCATAATGCTCCCTATTAGAGAAGTATCAGTAAGTGTCATAGTTTAGTCCATTAAAGAGAAAATGAAACACAGTTGTAATTTCATATATCAAAGAAGGGGCATATTCTAGATTCAATGCATACAATGCTTGCGGCATTGACCTCATGCAACAAAACAGCTTCTAACAATAATGCTTATCACACAACAACCCTATGCACTGAGCCACAATAGAGTATTACCGTAACAGAACCAGATCCAGTAGACAAAGACCAAGGCTCTGATGTCCATGTGTTTGTTTCCCAAAGGCAAAAAGTCCCATCACTGTAATAAGAAAGAAGACATCTTAGTAGAAACACATCAAACATGAAACTTATTTCCCCATCTGTAAATGGGAAATAGAGTTGATGTCTTACAATCTTGATGCAAAGAAGTAGTCCCCTGTTGGTGACCACTTCAGCATCGATATGCCACCTAGTCCCCGTCGAATAGGTGTTCCTGCCCCTGCAAGATGTAATACAGATCACGATCAGAAAAACAGATCCATCGAGTAAGCAAGAAAAGTTTTCTCATCTCAGGTCAAGATATAGAGTGACTGATACTTTCAGACTGAACTAATTTGTAGCTATGAGGACGTGAAGCATTAAGAAAGTGATACAAATGCCGCTTCTATTACCTTGAGAAACATCCCATATGGTGAAAGAGGAGCTGTCATATGAAGCTGATGCCAAATATGTGAAAATATGTCAAGGGATAACCGGATGGACAAAGTTCCCAAGAAAAAAGAAACAAAATGAGGCAAAGCAAAATAATAATATAGCAGAAACATTTTCAGGATATCTTCCACAGGGGCTCCATGAGAGAGCACTGATCTGCTCATCATTTTGACAACGGAGAAAGTCCACCAAGATCCAGCGAGCTCCAGACCCTCGAGAGAGACTTCCCCTCAATGAAGAACCACCACTTCTAACCAAAGCCATGTTACCTGGATAGGAAGCAGTCCATATGCATATCCCTCCCCTGTTTCAATGGAAGCAGTTGTTACTCGGTCATCTATGAAGCTATATATTAACAGAAAGTAGATAGTATTCAGTGGAGGCCATTAAAACCCACCTACAGGCTACGGAAATAGATTTTCCACCATTTGGCCTCCACTCAAGGGCTTTAACACTTCTCTGAGAATCACTTGTCAGTAAGCAAGGTTCTTTCTCATCTGCACAAAAGGAGAATATTTGCACACGATTTTCCAAAGCATGTGCACTAAGCATGAACATAAATAGATTAAAAAAACGGACCTTTGTCCTCATAGTCACGAATTGATACTTGATTAGCACCAGATATAAAGGCAATAATATGCTTCCCTTGATGCCAACTCACTCCTTGAAGATCAATCTCTGACAAAAGACTTACCTATATGTATAAAAGAAAAGATGATTTACACCAACAGCTACAGAATATGCCAATTAGAATTTGCAGAGAAAAACATTAAACATACCGCACTCCCCTAGATACCAAAAAAAAAGAAGATAATCTCTTGTAGTTATTGCTAAAGAACCAACACAAAAAAAAAGAAATCAAACAGATTGCTAAAGCATGGTGCCATTGTCCTTAAACTACTGTTAGTCTCCATCACAAACTGCTATGACTTCTTCAGACCACCAAAAGAGAACCAAACAGGTTGCTAAAGCATGATCCTTTAAGTCAAGTTCTTACATCAATAGGTCGTAGAATCTGTTTAAGAGAGTCAGCAACCATCCCTTTCAGTGTCTCCATCACTCCTTTCCTCTCAACAACTCCCTTATCACCACTCTCTTGTCCTTCGTTCTCTTCAACAGAGCCATGTCCTGCCTCGAACGAAACAGGGCTAAACACCATTCCCTGTAACGACGTAAAGCATTTAAATTTACCCCTTTTTTGACTAAAATCTATCATCAAACATCGAAAAGGGAACAAAGGAACGTACGAGAATCTTTCCGTAAGTCTCCTGAGCTCTATCATCAGACAAGCTCTGAGCCGTAACTGCATCAAGTTAACAAACGAAATAAGCTAAGAGATTCGGAAGTAGAGTAAAGAAGAGTAGAAAACTGAGAAAGGAGAGAGCTTTTTTCTTGAACTTACTCAAGTCTCTGTTGATCTCGCAGACGGTGACGGAACCGGGATTAGGAAACGATGCCATTGTCGTCTCTCTTTGCTCTTGTGTAATCAGAATCAGATATGGTGCGGGGAACGGCGACGGGTTCTCGCCGGAGAGACGAGAGGAGTGATATTGATTTGACGAGAGAGATTTGATTTAGGGGTTTTATAATTGATGTTGGGGTTTTGTAATTGATTTTGGGGTTTTGTAATTGATTTTTTTTAAACAATTTTCACGCTTCTTCTGCAGGTAGATAATTAAATTAAATTAAATAAATATTGCTGTTTAAATATATTAAATTTTTGAAAAATATATATGTGCATTTCCTCTATAAAAAAATCAAACCCTTATGATATATTTGTGAAAAAAAATCAGAAGAAAAAACCGATATGTTTCTCTTGAATTGTGGGAAAAGAAAATAAAAGCAAGACGAAAAATTAAAAAAAAAAGTGATATATTTCTCTTGAAAATGATTTATAATCCACAAAATTATAATAATTAAGATACTTCTGATAGTAGCAATAAAAAATAGATACTCTGATATAATTACCTAAATTATATTGAAGACGAGGATGTGAAGCAAAAATATATATATATTTAGTAGAAGAGAAAGGAAATAATTTAGCAACGTTTTGTTGAGTGTCACTTTTGTTGATCATGTCTAATTTGGTGCAGATTGATCTTAACCGGACATACATTTTATAGATGAAAGTCAAACCAAGGATGAATTAAATTGGGACCGGACTATGCCACTACTAATTTCGTGATATTTTGTGTTCTCTAGTAACAAAATGTTTGTTGTTATAATTACACTAAATTTGATGTTTTGGTGTTAAATTATTTTTATCATCTCCAAGCATAATATATCAACTATTACATAAAAATAATATTATTTATTATTTGATATTTTAAATTTTACTAATTTTAGATTTTTATTATTTAACATTGATAAATAATTGTTTTACCATATCTAAATATTATATTTATTAAATTTTCGTCATTATATGTATATAAATATTTGGTGTGATAAATAGTGTTACACCAAATTTAGTATAACAGTATTCACTCTACACTTAATTTAACACGATTGTATTATTTTTAGTGTTTTATTAGAGATAAATTACATTAAATTTGGTGTTTTAGTATTCCATTGGAATTGGCCTAGGAGGGAAGGGAACCAAAGCTATTTTATGTTCAAAAAATGGTTTTCGTTTTATGTGTTTCTTCTTCTTTGTATGTAATGGTAACTTATATGATACACATCTTGCATCATAATGTGTTGTTTTGGCCTTTTGATTTTGTTTTCGTAAATGGTAAAGCGAGTTATTATGATTCGGTGAATTACAAGATTCTTGCGGACGGCAAATCCAGCACATACCTGTACAATTTCTTTTGGCTATTTACACTTACATTTCTATATACATGCATTGATCAGCTAATATGTAACTGTAATTGTGTATATATCACCGTCTAGTAGGCAGGAATTTGACTTTTGAAGATGATTGCCACTGCGGTTCTGGACCTTCTGGTTGTCCCAACAAAAAAACAAAAACTATTTTTGCTTACAAACATATGTGTTATGCAAAAAAATGTTAATAAAATATTGATACAAGTCACGTGCTTCCACATCATGTTAAATTTAAAATTTATCTTAATTTCTCTTTTAATATTAATAAATTTTATGTTTTTGGATGCAGCTACTAATTTTACTTTTTAAGATGCAACAAAAATAAAACATAACTAAGTTTCTTTTATCATACTTCAAGTTTATATAATTTATTAATCCTTAATATTATTTAACTGGTGAAAAATATTCATGAATTTCTAAAACACCAAAATGGTTAAGGAAACGTTTACAAAAATATTTAAAAAAATATGAAGGAATCAAACTAATATATATATATCTAACAACATCTTATTTTTTTTAGCTGGAAAATACCTAAAACTGGAAATGAAATGGTGAAACCCTTACGCTGGCTATAAGACAATGATTAAAACGAAATAAAATAATAAGAAGACAAGAGAAAAACCCTGGCAACACCGAACACACAAGGTAATGCATAAGACTTAGGACATAAGCTTTTTGCATCTCACAATACGCAAACGCGGTTACTTGGAATCATACACCAAGTGTTCCCAACACGCGCAGACATTTCTCCCTATATATATCTATAAACTCATAACATTATATATTACACAACCAAAGATCTTCCAGAAAGCAAAAAGGAAATAAAATTATCTTTACACAAAACGTGCAAGGCTCATACAAATATCTAAGACAATGCTTGATTGGATACATGGAAACTCTCGGTTACCACTCGCTTTATCTGTACGTTGATGATATCTATTTTCACGTTCTTCAGCACAATTCGTTTATGTATATCTTATAATCTTTTCATTAATGTATGTTTTTCTTATGTTGTTTAAAGGTTGTGGAGCTTTTGGTAGATATGGATTGCCAAGGATGTGAAAAGAAAGTTCGAAAAGCTATTTCCAAACTCGATGGTAAGGAAACACAATGGATTTGATTCATATAAACATTGTATATTTGAGCTTATTGATGATTAACGGTATAAACATCAACATTTTAAGATAAATTTTATTAATAACAAAAGAAGTCTACAATTTGGGGGTTATACAACTTATGTGTAATGACTTTCGAAAAGATAGAGACCAAAACGAATGTTTCATCGGGCTTTGACCAAGATTGGTTTGATAATTAATGGTCTTGTTGTAATCATCAATCTATATGTGCAGGAGTGGATACGGTAGAGATAGACGTGGATCAACAAAAAGTGACGGTCACAGGGTACGTTGATCGAGAAGATGTTCTTAGAATGGTGAAACGAACGGGACGAGCAGCAGAGTTCTGGCCGTTCCCTTACAATGGATATTATGGAGACTATTATACGTATCCTTCTCAATACTTGGAACAACCGATTCAGAAGATAAACCATGCAGAGAATACTATTTCATACAATGGTAAATACGAGGTCTATGACGACTCTTCTATCAACGGTTACAATTATCCTCGTCCGACACAAAAAGTTGATGAAAATGCTATTCATCTCTTTAGCGATGATAATGTACATGCTTGTGCTGTCATGTGATATTTTTTTGTATTATTTGGATTTTTTTCATTCGTTTTTTTTTTGAAACTTAATTTGTTCATTCGTTTATTCATTTTGTAATCACATATCAGAAATTGTATTCTGTTTGTCCCCTCTAAGTTTGTTTGAAATAATTACTCATATTTTTTTTTTCTGTTCAAACGAAATTATTAGTTTATTTTAGTTTACTTCTATAGCAAATCACAAGGCCTTTCAGAATTCAATAGACAAAATATCTACAGGGCTTGACTTGTAGGCGATATTTTGGGCCTAATATTAAAGTATAGGCCCAAATAAGTCTCCTCATGACTTTAGGCCTGATACTTAACTCACGTTTTCGCCTGGAGGAACTTTTGTAGCTGCTTCGCTAGTGTAATACATGCTTGCAAGAATATCAACCGATGATTTAACTTGATGAAACTAAGAAATGAGATCAACTCGTAGATGATGTGATAGATACACAACACAAGTATGAGTATTATAACCAAAATTATTTGAAGTAGCGATATGTAAATAAATTCATCACAAAAGCAAAGCCACGTGAAGATGTAGGTGTTATAAACAAAATGAAGTTCTAAAGGTGTATGCTTATAAGGTTTATTTACAACAAATCCAAAGTAATAATTTATGTCGTCCTCATTCATATGTTAAGAGGTCCAAAGACCGACCCACATGAGATGCTACATAAGTGTCTGTGATTAAGACAAGAAGATGATGTTTAACTCATAAACCACCCTTCTCAGGTGCAACCAACAACCACCTATATTAGTAGCCGTTGCATTAGTCTCTGTTCTGTCTATATCTAATTATAAGATCGCTTGGTCAACCTATGGTCCCTCCTTATATTTATTGCTGAGTCTCCACCGTCCAGTTTTTGTTTTGTTTCTAAAAAAGATTCTCAGAGAAAATTTCATTGCGCATAGATCCAACAATAGGATTTAAAGTTCATCCAAATCTAGTAATTGTCCACGTTTCAGAATTTTTAAGCTAGTGTTGTTTAAGAGTTTACGTTATGTCATTAATGGCATGAGTTTAATCTCAACGGGACACTGGTGTTGTGTCATTTAGGAGTCAAGGATTCAAAGCAAGTGACGTTTTATTGTCAAAACTAAAGAACATGAGTGATGATGAGATTGATCACTGCTTCCCCTTTTGTGGCATTGACGTTGACTTAGCTTTTAAAATTGAAACTTTGAATAACTTCAAATTTCTTACGACTTTTCTCAATATTTCTCAATTCTTTGTAGATAAATTAATTAAAGAGTATATATATTTTCTTTTACTTTAGTTTCTTTCTGATCACCAAACCCATCACTAGATGTTTTTTTTAACCTTTTCTTTTTAGGATGCAATCTTTTTGACTTGGGTTCTGCCACTATCGTTTACTTTGACATGCTCTTATAGGTGTAGTTGTTGGAAGATTATCTTCTCTTTTGCATAAACTGTACTTGTCTTTAACACTATATTTTTCAGATTGGGAAAACAATTTAAAATTAGAAGAAGAAAAATTATATGGAGTCTGTATCAGTCATGGAGACAATAAGTATGGTGGTGGTAACGTATATGATTGTCTTATTGTTTGATATTGACAACATATATCAATGGGACCATCAAGAAAGATATTCTTTAGCATCCGAGTAAAAAAAAAACTATCCTCTTATCCTCCTCACCGGTGGTTAAAAAGTAAAAGAGCTATTCTACTCATTCTTGCTATTGCCTATTGTCTTGAGCTGCACAAGTAAAAGAGTAAAGATGACCACTTTGTTGACTTTCAGATCCTTGTTCATCCTTCTAAAAATGACATAGATTCTACTATTCTAGTACATACATATGTAAGATACATGATAGGGGACAAGTAGTAGTAACTCCAAATGTAAAATCTTAAAAGGTAAATTTATTTAGTAAAATCCAAGTTTCATCACAAATGATGCTACAAAAGCTCCATATTCATTAAACTTATAAAAAAACAAAGCAAAGCAGAGTATAAACAAAAGCTCAAGACGATAGATAACAAAGCTAATTCATTAACCAAATTAAAAATAAAGAAAGATACAAGAGGGGATCTAAAGAGTAGCTTTAGAAAAAAAAAAGATTACATCTACAAAACACTAAAAATTAAAAAATCAGATTAGATCACATAACTTTCCACGACTCAAGCGTCGGGAAGCTCGGGTAACTATCCAACTCCACGGCCGATCCACCACCAACACCCGCTGAACTTACATGGGCCGAACTTACATGGGCCGAAACAGAGCCCACCTCTGTTACCATATTCTCCTGTTGATGGTTAGACAAAAACGACGACGTATCTAGCGTCGGAACAGCCGAGAATGGCACCCTAGTAGCGAGCCTATGCGGCTCCGGCTTAACAACCGGAGCAAAAAAACCGTGAGAAGAACCGATGAACTTCGCGCCGGTGACTTGCTGAACCATCTGCCGGAAGTTCGCCGCGTCCGCCGTTATAAACGTCGTCTGAGACTTCTTGGTGGAAACTCGAGATCGGCGTTTCGCCGGTTTGCCTCCGGAGACACCTGGACCACGCTTCCGCTTCAAACCACCGTCGCCGCCGGCGACGGCGGCGACGTCGGGATCTGAGCCGAAGGAGACGTTGGAGATGGTTTGAGGAGGAGAGAGATCGGAGTCGAAGTAAGGTGAAGGAGGGAGAGGATCGGAGATGGATTTGTGGAGGGCTTTGGAGAGTATATCACTGTCGTGTGAGAAAGGATCTGGAAGTAACCATGAGTCGATGTTGTTAAAGCTTTGTCGGAACGACCAAAGGTCAACGCTCGCTAATCCGTCAGACGAGGCCATTGTTTTTTTTTTTTTTTAACCACGGTGAAAATATGAAATTGGAAACTGTAAAAAATAGTAATTTGTATGGAGCTCTCTTGGTTTTTTTTTTATAGGAGTGGAGAAGAAGTTAGGAGAGTGAGAGGAATGAAGGCGGAGGAATGGTAATAAATAGGACGGTGGAGAGAGAGAGAGAGAGAAAACGCGTTGAGAGGAGAGAGAGGGAAAGTGAGACACGCGTCAGCAGTGTTGTACGGACGGAAGTCTGACTCAGCTCTGCTTCGTTGTTCTACGCCTCTACGGTCTCACTATTAATTAAACTCATGGTCCATGACCTAACTTATCTCGTAGTATTAATTAAGGATAATGATGTTGTTAATGTCTTAAATTAACACTGTTGCCTAACAATTGTTATCGTATTTGTTCACTTATAGTCATAGAGTGCTTTAGAAAGCCGTGATAATTGCACCATTCCTATTCATTTTTATGAATATTTTTGATTTTTTCTATTAAACATTTTAACTAACTGCGTTATTTCTCTATTAACTCCACTAAACAGACAAATGTTACTTGTATTCGATAATCTCTTGTCATGCACCGACAATGTTGTTTGTTCGGTCTAAACCAGTTAGATTCTAAATTTGAAACAAAATACTCTATAATTAAGGGGAACGTTATGATACGTAACTGCAGGTAGGACTCTCTGACCACTATATACAAGTTAATCTATATATCTAGCTAATGTGTGTTTATATATAAACGAAAGAGTTATAATTATGTATATGGTTTAAAAACATTCTGTTTTGTGTGTTGAAACCAAATTTATGGTCAGTGAGAGACCATTGTAGTACTATTAGTTTTTTTTTGTATCTTTGATAGGTGTAAACTTATTTACTTTTTTTGTCTGTCTAAATGATAAATCCATACCAACCTTAATAAGCAATGAAACAAACACATATATCATAAATTGCAAGGAATAACATTAAGGGAATTAAGAATAGCTGATGATAATAAATCAACCCATATCCATTGTTTGACTGATTCAACAAGGTACTATACTACGTGATCATCTTTATAAAGTCATTTCATTTTTATTTTTGTTTATTATATATGTTAATATATCAATATTTTGACCTATTGAATGACTTTTTATATCTCCTTCATTTTAAATTATAAACTTTCCTTTTGTCAATGGGTAAATACAAATTAAAAATGAATTTCGTTGTCTCCATCATTTTAAAATTGACAAAAAATGGCAATGGGTAATAATTATAATTAGACTTCAAGATCCTTAATTAAGCTAAGTTAGAAATTGATTTCGGATCAAGTAGATTCTGAATATATGAGAGAATTAGGATTTATAGTTAACATGATCACCCAATGTGAATGCATGGTAGTATGGTACCATATGAAAAGATTATTATCTTTTATCTGAAAACCCCACATTAATAATGAAAAAATACGTTTTGATTTTCTTATATACATTCATGCACTAGAATGGACATCTTTTTCCTTTCAATGTAGAATTTTCAAATTTAACTTAATTAGTACTAGAATGTAGCTGAAACTGAAAGTACACAATTCTGCAAAGAGCACACGGTTATATAAACATTGTATATATGTCATCAGATAATGGAGCTGTAACGTGGACCGGAGAATCGTAGGTGATTGAGGCTTTTGCATGAATCATGCATGGGCAATCGAAAATGATTATTCGCCATGTCATCGTCTCTTCTCTCTTTTTCAAACGCGTTTTCACGTCTCCCAATGTCTCTTCCTACTCAATTCCCTGACACTGTCCCCTCCGACCATTCTTATTTTTCTCCCTTTTCTTTTCAACAGAAAAAAAAACTAATTCATTTGCACATGTCTTTGCTTTTTTAATACTAGTGTTGAATAAGTTTATATTTGCTTCATGCGTATATATGTATATTGATTGTTCATGCCTTTGTTTGTTTGATGAAAATATTACATGTATATTTGATGAAACTATTACATGTATATGTATGTAGGTAGTCGTCTAACTATAATAGATCGGTTGTATTTTGTTAACATCTTAATTATTATTATCTATTTAGTTCACTAAAATAGAAGCCACCTAGCGGATGAACATTGTAATGTAACAATTTTATAAGCATATATTATGTTTTCCCTATTTTCTTTATGCAAACGTATCAGCTTGTTGTTTTCAACTCGAATTGTTTAAGCACGAAGATTAAAAGCTTATAAGAAAGTCGTGATTTTCAATATTGTCCCTTACAACTTGTCCCATGCCTCTTTCAACGCAAGTCCCTAGCTAGTATTATCAAGCGCAGAATCTTAGTCTCGTGATGTCAAATACAAATAAAATTAGTACTATATTACATATATTTTCGGATATCAATTAATTCACAGATATTTCGTATAATGAAACTCAAAATATGATAGTATATAATTATAAGTACGTATATGCTAATGAGTAGTCATGACGTTAGAAATGAGTACAAGACATGTTATTTTAGTGCAAGTACACACAGTCACACATGGACATGGTGCTACTACTTGTAAACTGTAAGTTATAAATAGGTTCGTTTAGTAATGTGTTCAAAAAAAGAAAAAAAAAAAAAAAAAGGTTCGTTTAGTAACTCTTCTACAGTTTTATAGCTACTAACTTACCAATTATGAAAGATGTAACAACAATCGGTATTGAAAGCTATACATACACTCAGTTCTAAATTTCTAATCTTACATAACTTACTAGTTACTAATCATCTGATTATAAACTTAGGTTACTGTTACCACTCAGAACAATAATTCCCACAAAGTTATTAGATTGCTACATAAATTTTACATTTTAGTTTGTTGCTCTAACGAAACTAATATTTAATCGAGGGAATGGGGGGGGGGGGGAAACGTATATATGGCTTGATCGATGTATAGAGGAGGAATCTAGTTGCGTGAAGTAAGCTATTTTCACTTGGTTAATTAATAATACATACCCATATAATACGGGTTAGAAAATTCAATTCAGAAGAAAAGACCAAACAGCTGAGTTATATATGATCTAAAAGACAAGAAGTGGACCATAAGAAAAGAAAAAGAAACAGATAGACCAATCTTCTACGTGGGTCTCATCATTGTGCCTTTGATTTTAGTGGTCAATTATTGGACTCATCAAGTTTGGGTGACATCGGCATTGTTCATTCAGCATGCAATATGCTTGATTAAGGTTACCATTTATTTACCAAATATACAGCTGATCAAAATTGGCAAATAAACATATATTTTAAAAGAACAGTTTGTTAAAATTTCAAGGTGAAGAGTGAAAATGATAAATGTGGATTTTATCTAAAAGAGAATACTATTTTGTAGAATTTTAAAAATAGTTTGGATAGTCATCATATTAGTTGTACAACACTTACATATAGTGCCGATCATTGACAATTAACATTTATGCGTAGTAGACAGCACATCAGTATCAGTATATCACCAAATAGAATATATTGTAAATTTCACTTATATGACCTTCCATTATCTAGGTTGGTGCCAAGTAGATAATGGCATAATGCTACTACAGTATTATATTAGTTTATCACGGTTTTCGTATATTCAAATTCGTAGCAAACCGAGCATGAGACGACTCACGTGTGTTCAAGAGGTCCAAAGTTCATATAAAAAGAACTTATATGTTCGTTATAAGCAACATCTCTCTAATGTATGTGCAAGAAAGTATGGTGTAACGTTTGGAACTCGAATGAATCCATGAAACTACTTTACTAGTTTTGAATTGAAACTCTACTTTTCTGCTCAAAATTTGGGTATTCTTCTAATCAAATCTCACGAAGCCATGTGCTTTTATATAATGATATAGTCTTTGTGATCAGTCATTAGAATAATGAAGTATATCAATCGTGTGAGAGGAATAAAGTCAACAGAGACCAGCGATAGCGTCACCTTTTTGGACGATGTAATCGTGACGATGTTATGACGAGACGCGTCTATATTATTATTACTAATACAATTGTATATAATTAAAATACTCCACTTTAATTAAAGTGACAAATATAAAAGTTAAAGTAATGCTTTAAAATAAAAAGAAAGAGAGAGGGACACGTGAGAATGTTGACTTTGTAGAAGCGGTCGTGTCAAATGCACTGCGCCCAAGCTTCACCATTACCTATACACTGCCCACTCTTGCTGCCCAAGTTTCTCTCGTCTTAAACAATTAAAAAGATTCCTTTTTGTTTTGTTTTTAGGGTTATAAAGATAATTTTTAACAATAGTTTAGTTTACTGATCAGTTTCCGACCATGGTCAAGTTACGAATCTAATAGCCAAAAAAATAAATAAATCTACATGTATAGTGTCAGTGTTTAAAAAAAAATGTCTAGCTGATCCGTTAAGGCATTTCAAACCTTCTTAAATTACTCACTTAAAAATGTTATTTTCTTTTGAACGTATTTTCCTCCTTGGAATTGAACCGAGGAAATTTCAATTACATTTTCTTGATAAAATCAAAAGCGTTCTTGACAGATTCGTCCTAATTCTTACTAATATTGATTTCTTTTGTCTAGGTCCACCTCATTTGTGTGAGCATCTTTCAAATATATGGGCCTAATAAAATATAGGCCCAATTTTTAGATTTAAGAGTCTTCACCGAAACTGAATCTGCTGTTGGGCTTTGTCTCAAGGTTGGATTGGTTAGGAAGAAGTTTTGTTTACCTCTGATAACCAAATAAATCTAGCAAGTTTGTAGTTGCTGTAATAAAGGTCTGTAATGTGAACATTACGTAACGTTAACTTGGTAGTGATACAAAAACATGAGTGTACAAAATGTGCTGAGAGAGTTTACACTAAATCTACAAACTTTTGCTTATGATTCAGATTCCAAATCAACTTCAAAAACCTTGACATGGCAAAGATCTCCTCCTGCATCATCTGCAAACTTAATCCTCTTTGTCTTATGAACAATGTTTTCAGTAGCTGGAGAATCTTCTCTGACCATACCCTGTGGAAAATAGTAGATGAATGCAGAAAAAGTCAGAAACACAAAAGATTCATATAAGTGAACGTGTAAGGAGTGTAAGAACAAACCATGAGTTTGCAAAACCGATTACAATCACGTTCAATCATGGAAAGCCATTTCTTGCTACTCTCTTCAGTTTTTTCTGCTTTTCCAATCAAAGTTTTCATCTGACAAAGAGAAAAGAAAGTGAAGTTAGACACTGAAAACGAGAACTTCATTTGGTTTTAATAGACAAATGTACCTCATCAGAGTTACACTCAGGCATTGTGGAGGGGTTGCTTTCAGCAAGGAGACATCTCTTTGTGATTTGTCTCATCGCTTTGAGTTCTTTAGTGAGCCTAGCTGCGACATATTGAAAATCACGCATTTGCCCTTGAGAGAAGGCAATAGCTTTCTGTGTACATCCTTGTAACGAGGTGCTTCCAGTGCTAAAAGGCTGTGGCTTTGCTGCTTGCGTTTCTCGACGTGAAAACTTGTTTGTGACTCTTTGAGTTTTACTGTTTGCTTTTCGAATGGCTTGCTTTGGATTTGGAACGACATCCACTTCTAGCCCTTGAGCCTTAAGGATCCTATGTGAGTTTTGGCTACTGAAGTAGAGTTTCCCTTTGGATTCTGGATTTTGTAAAAATAGATAAGAATCTGTATAGAAAAAGACATAAAAGATTTTGTCATTTGACTTACTTTTACCCATCTTCTCAGGTGAATCGGAGTGCTCCATTGCCTTGCAAAGTTTTGCTTGAGAGTTGGGAGATAAAGTCTGAAAACCAAATGGTAAGTAGTCAGTAACTCGTTTAAGAGACAGAATGTAATATGAGAAAATTACACACAGGACAAACCTTTCTCCCTGAGAGTAGTTTCTCAGGTTGAGAGTGTAGCTCTTGTTGCTGGGTGCTGTCACTCTCTTCAGCTGTTTTAACCTCATCAATTGGTGCCTGAAAGAGTTGTGAGTCTCCTGCTTCATCTACATTCACTGAGGATGGTTGTAACCTTTTTGGCAGATAATCTTCTTCTAATGAAATTAAATTATCCGTTGAATCACAGCAGCCGGTCAGCTGGATGATATCAGTTGCTTCATGAAGCTCATCATTGGAAATGTCTTCGTTTACCCACACAAGCTCGGTGTTTCCTACTCCATAATTCATGGTAAGCGAATCAGAGATATCAGTAGCAAGCGTTTCTGGAGCATCAACCTTCACAATCTCCAAACCAGTTATGCTAATGTCTAAGCCAGCAAGTATTTCAGGAGCGTCTATCTTCATAATCTCAAAGCCAGTTGTGATCATGTCTAAGTTAGTCTTTGAATCATTGCTTTTCCCATCCTCTTTAACTTCTTCGCTCCCCGAGCTCCCCGAGTTTGCACAAGAATAACTGAGGTCCTTGAAACAGGCAATGGTCTCAGATTCTGAACTTTGCGGCACCTCCAGTACATCCTCCTCTCTAGACACACTACCACACAAAACGTTCTCAAGAGCAATATTACCAATGAGACAGCATGAAGTTTTCTTTGCATCGATGAACTCTTCTAATGCATCTTCAACAGTGTTGTCAACCGGCTTTGTAGTTATGGGCTCTTCAAGGGCTACAATTCCAGGAGAATTTGGCTCTGGACTGGGATGTAGAACCAATCTTGCGTCCTTGGGCAAATCATGCAAAATCTCTTCCACCAACTCCTTATTTAAAGTAGATTCTGGCTCTTCGTAAGAATCAGTGGGAATGGTATCCATGGCGCCAGGAACCAAATAGCTATCATCCCACGAAGCCTCAGACTTGACATCACACAACACAGGCAAATCAACTTTCTTTGCAGATGGAGTAGAAGTAGAACCACACTTTGTTTTAAGCTTTTTCTTACTTCTCTTCGTATTCCAACTGCAAATAGGCTCTTCAAAATCACACCCTTCATCTTCAATTAGATTCTCCAGATTCACGTCCACAGTCACAACTTCATCCCAGAAAGCCTCAACCTTGACATCACATAACACAGGCAAACCAACTTCCTTCGCATACAGAGATGAACTAGAACCACACATTACTTTCCGCTTATGACTCTTCTTTCTTCTCTTGGAGCATTTCGTATCCCAACTGCTAAGTGGCTCCTCAACTTCACACCCTTCTTCTTCAACTTTAACCTGCGAACTGGTCTCAGTATCTCCCCTACGTTTCCTTTTCTTTTCTCTGCATTGTTTCCGGAACTTCCTCAGTGTCATATCAAAACCTTCTTCTGTATCCACCTTAGCACCAAACGTACAAGCACTCTCTGTCATCTCAGAATCATTCTTCTCCAAATCTCTGACCACTCTCGACACCATAGGCACTTCACCTTCAGCGTTTCCCCCATTGTATACATCAACCAAAGGCTTAAACTTGAGCTTTGATTTCCCACTTGCAACCACATTCGCCACTATTTTGATAGAACCATTTTTAATGGTGTGGATGTAATGCAATTGGGAGTTCAAATGAGTGCTGCTCCTGACCTCAACCATTGTAACTTAACACAATCACACTTCCTAGTGAATTTATAAGCTTTAATCGAACTCCTGAATTTTAAAAAAAAAACAAAGGAAGTGTGAGAATCGAGCGATTCATTAAGCCAAGCAGAGCAACGAACATCAACGAGCGATTCATTTAGGAGTTTTGCTACAGTAATCAAATCTGAGAATCGACGATGCATTGATTCGTTTAGGGGTTTAACAATTATCAAGCGGAAACTAATTTCACTGAAAATCAATTGCAGAAGCCTCACCTCTAATCAATCTAATAAAAATCCAATTAAATACACAAATAAGCATGCGAAAACCCTAATTCGCTACAACTTCTTAGAAACATCGATTTGATAAAGATAAAAGCAGATCCGAGTAAAATGATATGAATGCAATCAAAGATACGTCGAATCTAGATCTCAGAGATGAACATGGAGGTATTACCTTAATCTTAATCGAAGGATTGATTAGATTCAGAGGAAACTGAAGGCTGGATACTACAAGCTTCGAGGTCGTAGATAGTCAAGCTAGGGTTTACGCAGGAGCGAGAGAGAATGTAATTTAAAAAAAGAGGGACGAAGAAGAAGAAGAAGAGGGAGAGAATGTGGAGCTTTTGGTGTTTAGGAAGGAGAGAGAAGACTACTTTATGAGCCGTGGAGCCTCGCGGGAAACACTTGGCGGGATCTTTTTAACCTTTTTTACAGCTTTTCGTAAATGGGCCTTTAAGCCCAACGTTTATAGTTTAATAACCTTTAACCTTAACCTGTTTTATTAAAACAGAACTATACTTGCCTATTTTTAAGTGAATTTTTACAGAATTTTCTTTTATTTTTAATTAATTATAATCACTTCATTTTCTAAAATTATTTCATTCATTATTTTTCTAAATAACCATTTCATTTATTTAAATCATTTAATTTATTGTCTTACCTAAATATAAAATCTGTATGGATTTGATTTTGATACATTAAAATTTTAAATATCTAAAAATTATAATATCCAAAACATGTTCAGATATTAATACCAAAAATAACCATATTAACTGATTCGATTCGGGTATTTTGAATCTAAACTCAAATAACCAAATAACCAATAATAATCATATTACTCGATTTAATTCAGATTCAATTCGGATGTATAGAACTTACAAATATTCATGATGAATATATAATTTTAATCATGAAGAATAAAATATTAATTTATAAAAATGTAAATTTTAACATTCGTACGGACGTAAGGATCAATCACAAGTAATAATTAAATTTTCTTAGGTTTTTAAATGGTTAGGTAGATTAGATGTGTAGACAGGTTGTAATAGAGGCGGGACTTTTTAACATTTTACGTTAATAGGCCTTTAAGCCCAATAATTTATTAATGGGCCTAGTCTATAATAAGGGGTAAAAATGTAAATTCCTCGAGATAGAACCTGAGGTTCATATAGCAAGTTAAGCAACAAAGCGGCGTAGATAAGGAGAGAGAGAGAGAGAGAGAGAGAGAGATCAATCAATCAAACCCAGCAACCAAAAAAGAAAAAATTTCCGAAACCCTAATAAATCTCCCATGAAAGCCGCCATGACTAAGAAGCGAAAGCTCGAAGCTCAACCCAGCTCGGCTTCCGAACCTTCACAGAACCCAAACGAGGAGGAGCAGATTGCAATCAACAATCTCCTTAAACAGGAAGAAGTCGAATACGAAGAAGTAGAGGAAGAGCACGAAGAAGTCGAAGACGACGAAGAAAATGAGAATCGTATCGTGACGACGACGAATACGAATACGACGACGTCTGGATCTGGTGGTGGATCTGGTGGTGATGATGACGATGATGAGCCGATTCAAGATCTGTTGGAGCCGTTTTCGAAGGAACAGCTTGTGACTCTCCTCAAAGAAGCGGCGGAGAAGCATCAAGACGTAGCGAATCGAATCCGCGAAGTGGCCGACGAGGATCCGGTTCACAGGAAGATCTTCGTCCACGGACTTGGTTGGGACACCAAAACCGAAACCCTAATCGAAGCTTTTAAGCAATTCGGAGAGATTGAGGATTGTAAAGCCGTGTTTGATAAAGTCTCTGGTAAATCTAAAGGGTACGGTTTTATATTGTTTAAATCCAGGTCTGGCGCGCGTAGCGCGTTGAAACAGCCTCAGAAGAAGATTGGGAGTCGTATGACTGCGTGTCAGTTAGCTTCTAAAGGACCCGTCTTTGGAGGAATCAACAGCAGCAACCCGGCCGCGGCCTCGGCCTCCTCGGTTGTTGCTCCTGTGCAGAGCTCTGAGTTCACGCAGAAGAAGATTTATGTGAGTAACGTTGGAGCGGAGCTTGATCCGCAGAAGCTGTTGGCGTTTTTCTCCAAGTTTGGGGAGATTGAGGAAGGTCCTTTGGGTCTTGATAAGTACACGGGGAGGCCTAAAGGGTTTTGCTTGTTTGTGTATAAGTCTGCTGAGAGTGCTAAGAGGGCTTTGGAGGAGCCGCATAAGAGCTTTGATGGGCATGTGTTGCATTGTCAGAAGGCTATTGATGGGCCTAAACCTGGGAAGCAGCAGCAGCAACAGTTTGGTAACAATCCTCGTTTTCAGAGGAATGATAACAACGGTGGTGGTTACGGGACTCCTGCTGGTCATGGACATCTTATGGCTGGTGGTCAAGGTGGGATGGGTACTCCGGTTCAAGGGATGAATCCTGCTCTTGGACAGGCGTTGACGGCTTTGATAGCGTCGCAGGGAGGTTTGGCGTTTAATCCAGCTATTGGTCAGGCTTTGTTGGGTTCGCTTGGGACAGGTGGAGGTGTTAATCCAGGGGGTGGAGTTGGAATGCCGACTGGTTATGGTACTCAAGGTATGACACCTGGGAGTATTCCTGGGTACGGTGCGCAACCTGGGTTGCAAGGTGGGTATCAGACCCCGCCGCCTGGTCAGGGAGGTGCAGGAAGAGGGCAACATGGTGTTGGGCATTATCCATACATGGGCCAGTAGATGTATCATGTAGCAACTCAGGTAGAGAAATGTATATAGTCCCTTCACTTGTTTCATTATATACTTTACATGGAACTGAGTTCTAGAGAGAGGAACTTTCTGTGTCTTAAACCCACACGGTTTGCCTCCTGACGGTTTTGTTTTGCATACATGATTGTTACTTTTAAACTGTTTTCTGAAGGGTTTTGTGTGTTTGCAGCGATTGAGATTGTGAAAACCCTTTTCTTATTTTCTGAAATTGATTGTGCAGATATCAGAAATCAGTGTTTTAATATTGGCCTTGGTGATACTTCTGAAGTTTATAAGGAGCTGATGCAAATGAAGTCTTTATGAAATGTTTACTCTTTGGTCGCTCATAAGGCCAAACTCATAAAAACCTTTTAAGGAGTTTTAGTTTTCATCTTCTTGTTTTTTCCTATCTTTCACCAACTACTCTCTTTATGCTATTCCTAAAAAAACATTGTACTATTTTCAGAGTTTATGTCTTTGTTTTCAGTTTTCTGAAACATGTTAAGAGCTTTCGTTTGTAAAACTAAAAACACAACTATGCTCCTTGTAGCCTCTCTTATTAAAATCTATCTTATCTAAATCTTGTTTTTCCAAATGTTGTAGATTGTTTTATTCGATCTCTCTGCTTCACGGTTTCATTCCTGGATTTTTTTCTGCCTGCAGTATATCATTCTTGTAATATGAGTTATTTAATTAACCTAGCTGCAGCAGTCTCGAATGTTTGTAATATGTTTTGGCTTGTTAGGGATGACACAGTACAGTCAGATGGTTCGAGCATCTCCCTCTCCTGTCCGGTTTGGAGCTGAAACTGCTGCTATTGTATGGACAATAAAGTGATTCCAAGGTCTTGATGCAGACCGTCGAAGATCCCACCAACCACATGGCAAACACTACAAAAGCTTCCACAAAGAGACGCACGGGAGCTATGATGAACTTTGAAAACCTCAATTTAGATATTGTGGAAGACAAGTGGATGAATCTTGCTGCTGATCTTATTGGCAGAACAGCACTACGTTATAAGATTGTTGTACCCCATCTTGGTGAGTCCAGTGAATGAAAATTATGTTTGTTCTCTCAGTTACTTCAAAAATGTCTTGAAGATGTTGTTATTTCGTGCAATTAAGGTTTTCTGGAGATCCGTAATGTGCTGAGTAAATCAAATTTAATGCGTACGGAAGGATGAATTAAAAGCCCTTAATTGATTGAAGTCTTTGCTGAGAGAGCACATGTAGTGTTATTCCCTCGGAATAAACTCTATATCCACTTTCATTAAAGTAATCACTAATCACAATTATTAAAACCAAAGAAATAAATAGAGAGAGATTACCACACAGAAAAAGAAACGCATTGAAGATTCCAGAGAAGCCGATTTGCCACAGTATCAGAGTGTCACTTTCTCAATCAAAAGGTTTCTCTCTCGCTCTTCTCCCTTTTCTCTCATCCTGCGCAAAACAAAAGAGAAAAATAACAAGAGAGAGAGAGAGAGAGAGTCTTCGACACACACAGAGACAAATAGTCTGTCTAGGTCTGCTTTGTAAATCTCTCTCTCTTTTGTCTCTGCACTTACAATAGTTCTGTTCCTCTAAAAACCCAACCTCTTTTTTTGTTTAGATCTGATCCGTTTCAAGCTCAAATTCGTTTACCCTTTTCCAAAGATCGTTCCTTTCTCTATCTCCGGCTTTAAAAACCTTCTCTTTCGATAACCACGTTTAGCATCTGCATTCCATAGCCCCTCGATGCTGCATGCAGACCCTTTCAGAGCTTTAATTTCTTCCCCTTTGATGCTCTGTTTCTCTGCTGCATGTTCATCGAGTCAACCTTAGAGAAAAAAAAAAGGTTTTACCTTTTGCCTCTGATTTGATGAGTCATTTATCAAACTGAGCATTAAAGATTAGGGTTTCTAATTTTGTGGCTTCAGGATCGTTTTATCTATCTATCTGCGTTGTGTTTTTTTTTTAAAATAAAGCTTATGGATTCTCAGAGGGGTGTTGTTGAAGAACCTAGATCTCATCAGTCTTTGAATAAGCAAGGCTCTCTTTATAGCTTAACACTCGACGAGGTCCAAACCCATTTAGGGAGTTCTGGTAAAGCACTTGGAAGCATGAATCTTGATGAGCTACTCAAGAGTGTTTGTTCCGTTGAAGGTAATAATAACAATCAGCCATCTTCCATGGCTGTCAACGGTGCTGCTCAGGAAGGTCTCTGTCGTCAGGGGAGTTTGAATTTGCCACGGGATCTAAGCAAAAAGACTGTTGAAGAGGTTTGGAAAGACATTCAGCAGGACAAGAATGGAGGTGGTGGTAATAATGGTCATGAGAGGAGAGATAAGCAGCCTACTTTAGGGGAGATGACGCTTGAGGATTTGTTGTTGAAAGCAGGTGTTGTGACTGAGACAGTACCTGGTCCTGGTGGTGGTGGTGGTTTAGGGCAAAACATAGCTCAAGTTGGCACTCCTTGGGTTCAGTATCATCAGCTTCCGTCAATGCCACAGGCTCAATCATTCATGCCGTATCAAGTTAATCCAGACATGCAAGCGATGGTGTCTCAGACTTCTTTGATGGGTGGTTTATCAGATACGCAAACTCCAGGGAGGAAGAGGGGAGCTTCAGGAGAAGTTGTGGAGAAGACTGTTGAGAGGAAACAGAAGAGAATGATAAAGAACAGAGAGTCTGCAGCTCGTTCTCGAGCTAGGAAACAGGTGACAACAGCTTTCTGTAATTGCAAATGTGGTGTTGTTATTAGTTACCTTGTCAAGCCGTCCCTTTGTTTTTTTATACTTGGTGTCTGACACTGTGTGTTGATGTGCAAGGCTTACACTCATGAGCTAGAGATTAAAGTTTCACGGTTAGAAGAAGAAAACGAAAGACTCAGGAGGCAAAAGGTAATAGATATACTTATGGCTTGTGATTGGTTATACTTATACACGTTTGTATTGTGATTGGTATTGGAACTGACCATGCCTAAAGTTTTGGCATCCTTGGCCCTTATGGTTATTATACTTATACATGTATGTATTGGGAGTGGTATTGGAACTGAACATGTATTAAACTTTAGATTCGAACTAGAGGCAGTGGTAGATAATAGATGATAGGAAATGAAACTATGAACAAGAGAAAGGATAAATAGATTACGTCTTTGTTGTTTCTTTGCTTCTTGTAAGAGTAGTTTTGGCTCATTCTTTTACTCGTCACAAACTTGGAAGTGATTTTTTACGTTACTACATTGTTTGAGTGTTTTTATTTACTTTGCAGGAGGTAGAGAAGATCCTCCCAAGTGCACCACCACCTGATCCCAAGCGGCAGCTGAGGAGAACAAGCTCAGCTTCTTTCTGATCTCAAAACTCTTTTTTTTTCTGCTTCTGTATTAGTTTTGCTTATAAAAAGAAAAAGAGGAAAACAGTTTGTTTCTTTGTACATTCTTGACTTGGAGCAATTCTGTTAAGTTCCTTCAGAACATTCCGAGTTATTTTAGTATCAGCAGCAATCTTTTTCTCGAGTATCAAATTTAGAGGTTGAACAGAATGAAAGAACTTGGATTTGTATAATTTGAAGACAACAATACTCTATAGACCAGTCTGTAAAATGGATCACACAAAAATCTCTTTGAATTTGCCAAGCCTTATGGGCCAGCTTCGTTCTCTTATGTAGACATTATCTTTAACTTTCATCATAAGAACTTGTTTGCAACATGTTCTGCAATAGCCAAGCTTGAAGTTAAACCAGGCGACTCGATGCCAAAGAGATTCACAAGGCCAGTAACTCCATGAGTCTCTTCCCCCTGCACATGAGAAAACAAATGCTTTCATAACAAAACCAAAGCTGCCACAGGGAACAATGCTTTTGAGAACAAAAATGATTACCTGTATGACAAAATCTGAGGGTCGCTGTTTTGGACCAGAAAGCTTGGGACGGATGCCTGAATAACCAGGTTCCAACGATCCATCTTTAAGATCAGGATAGTACTTTCTAATCTCAGGGTAGAATCTCTCAGCTCGTTGTGGGTTCACACCATAATCAAATCTGGATTCAAACAGCATAAAGAAGATCTTAAGCAACTTCAAAATAGACAAAAGATAGACATTATATGACAGGTGCTATCATTACTTGTTGAGGAAGCTTGATGAGTTTTCATCTCTGCATTCAATCCACTCAACATCAGGACCAAACTTCACAACTCCATTCAAATCAACAGTGACATGAACACCAAGACCTCCTTCCTCAGGTATAGGATACACAAGTTTATCAAAAGGCGGAGACTTTGCACCAGATAGCGTAAAGTAGCATCCACGAGCATAGTGAGAAGAAGGAATAAACCGATGACCTAAACCATGGAGTCTCTTAGCTAGAGCTTGAGCACCTAATCCCGCAGAGTTAACAACGAGATTAGGTACCAACTCAAGCTCAGCTACTCCCTCACACCGAGACTCAAACGATCCAGTTTCAGCAACCAACAAATGCATCTTCCCTTCTTCAACACGACCGCTTAAAACCACTGTATTGTACGAGAACGTTGCGTGACTGTTCTCAGCTTGTCCCTGTCTGAACATCGTGAAATCAAAAACTCTTTCCCGTACTCCATAAACCCCAAAGATCTTAACACATCAGAGAAGAGATGATAATAGTACCACTAAAGATAGCATCAAAGAATGTGTATCCACTATCCCAGAATCAGGAGACAGCAATGCTTTAACACAACGAAGCTCCGGCTCCATCCTCATTGCTTCAAAACCTTCCAACATCCTTAAACCCGAAACTCCATTTTGAGTTCCAAGATGCATCAACAGATCAAGCTTCGCTATCTCAGAGGATCCTGTAGCAACTACAAGCTTGCCTATCTTCCTGTGAGGGATTCCATGTTCTGAGCAATACCTATACATCAACTCTCTCCCTCTTACACAAAACTTAGCCTGTTCAAATCCAAAGATTGCACCTTTAGAGAGTCTGAAATATTGCGACCCTTAAGATAAAGACTGCATCTTTAGAGAATTTAGAGGAGTTTGATTCGACCCTTAAGATAAAGATTGTATCTTTACAGAGCTCAGAGGAGTTTGATTCGACCCTTAAAGTAAAGATTGTATCTTTACAGAGCTCAGAGGAGTTTGATTTGACCCTTTAAGAGAAAGTTTGTATCTTTACAGAGCTCAGAGAAGTTTGATCTGACCCTTTAAGAGAAATTTTGTATCTTTAGAAAGTTTAGAGGATTTTGATTTGACCCTTAAGATAAAGATTGTATCTTTAATAAGTTTAGAGGACTTTGAATCGACCCTTAAGATAAAGATTGTATCTTTATAGAGTTTTAGAGGACTTTGATTGTGACCGTTAATAGAAAGATTGTATACCTTTAGAGAGTTTGGAGGGTAATAGATTCCGGCGTGGATGACCTCACTGTTGCGGGAACTCGTCACGGTGCCGAACGATGAGGCAGCGTCGAGGATCAACACTTCTCTTCCGCGGAGACTGAGCTCACGCGCCACCGCTAAACCCACGACTCCGGCACCGATCACGACAGCGTCTACTCTCTCTTTAGATATCTTCTCTGCTCCACTGCTTACTCCTCTCGCGAGTGTTCTTCCGCTGCTACTTGCGTCTCCGGTGAACAGTTTCCAGGTGGGTTTTAGATTCCTCGTTGACAATCTCGTCCATCTTCTTCTAACAAGAGTCGGAAGCATCTTTTTCTTCTTCTTTGAATTAAAGATGAGTAAATGTGGACGGATCCATATATAGAAACTAAAACTGTTGATGGGCTTTTTAACGGAAAAAGTGTTAATGGGCTTTATGACTTATTTATCTTATATGTTGCAGCCCAGGCGATATCTGTCTGAAACTAATCTAAACGTTGTCGTTTCACTTTAGCGTTGGGGCATTTCCTCTTCTTCCTCTAATTTTCATTTTTTTTGTACTTTCTGCTTCACCCGTAAGTCTATAGCCATGGCTAGCTGGTACATTTTTTTCTAGTTTCTTTCTAATGAATTTAAATTGTAATCAGTTTGTGGATTTTAATTCCTTTAATACGTATTGAAAGGATTGATTTTTGGATATTTTTGAGTAATAGGTGTGGATGAACTTAGGAAACTGGGCGGAGGTTAGTGTTTTCTTGAGTTGTTTGCAAGGTGTTTGTGTAAATGCCTAGTTGAATTTTAGAAGTATTTTCCTATTTGGTGGCATCACCTTTTGATATGTTGAGCTTTTGTGTTGTTCTTGAGTCAACTTTGGGGGTTTTTGTTTTAACGTTTCTTTGTTTATCAGCTTGTAGTTGAAACCACACTTATTCATTCTCTCTACAAAAAATAAAAAAAAACTGATATTTGATGTTTGATTGGATTGTGGAATTGATATGCTGAGAGTTTGTGGTTTAGGCAATAGTTGCATGTGGGTCAGATAGACCAACCATTTCTTCTATCTGTTTCATGGGATTTGCCATCACTGTGGCATTACCTATCTGTGGAAGTAAGTTCTTGCCAAAGAGGAGTTTTAGAGACAAAGGTGCTTTCTCCCTTGCCGTTTGCTTGGAGTTTTGTTCTCTCTGTCGTTTCCTTCGTCCTACACGGCCTTCGTTAGTCAGACATCAAAGGTAAGTTCTTAGCTAGGAAGTCTAGAAATAGAATGATGATTTTTGGTGAATGGAGCTCAATTCATCTCATTCCTTTTTAGAAACCCTTGTAGAGAAAACATCATATCTCTTAAGCGACCATAACTAAGCCACGGTTTTGTAACTTTATTGTGTTAAGGAGTAGTAAGGTCCTTAAGTTTCTAAGCCTAATGCTTTGTTTCAAATTGAACTCTATCTAAGCCATGGGTTGTTGCTTTATTGTACCAAGGAGCTGTAAGGTCCCTCAGATTTTTGCTTGTACCAAATTCCTGTGAAAGCATTCTTTTTCACACACATCTGCTTGTTCTTTCATCTGTCTTAAAAAGATCTGATGATGTGTCAATTTCAACTGTGTCTTTGGGATTTTTCAGGAGAATGTCATGGACAACAATCAATAGCTCAGTTGGTGGGGGCAGATTAGATCCACCATCTGGTTCTTCAAGTAATAAAAACTCTACACGTCCAAGACTAATCAAAGCCATACAAGATTTCAGAACTAAGCTTTTGGTGAAAATCCAGGAGATAAAGAAAGATCTCCCCAAGAAACTGCTCTTTCTCTTGGTGGGATTCTACTCTGCAACTGCCTTCTCTACGTTTATAGGACAAACAGGAGACTGGGATGTCCTATCCGCTGCAGTAGCTGTAATCATAGTGGAATGCATCGGAGCTTTAATGTACAGAGCATCCGTTCCTTTAATCAACAAGATGCGGAGCATAATCACCATGTTTAATTATTGGAAGACCGGACTTGCCCTTGGACTGTTCCTAGACTCTTTCAAGTATGAAGTTAACTAACAGTTTTGCGCAAATCTTTAAGCTCTTGTGATGATTCCAATGAATTAAAAACCCTTGGCTGCGTTACAGGTTTTAGCTCAAGACCTTGGAAGCGACATAGCAACCTAAACCTGGCTCTAGAATGGACAATGACAAGCTCTCTCCTTTTATGCCTGATACAAAAAAGGTTGTGAAGACTTAAACTCAGGTCACTGCAAGACATGGGATTATCAAACCCTCCGATCTACACAAAGCAAGTCACCAGCAAACATAGCTAGTGTCTTGTCTGTATAGTCTTTACTCTTGTATGTATTTGGTTGCATCCTTGCAGATGCATACGTCTAATATAGCATTGATTCTCTGATATTTTACTCCCACTTTTCTTTTTCGAAGAACTTTTGAAAAGTTAACAGATCAATAAACTTCAACTTGAAGTATTACAAGCTCACGAACATACCTAAAGAACATACAAAGGTGGGAACTAGGAAGCAAGACAGGAGCATTTGAAATCTTTATACCTCTGTACAAACCCAGAAAAAAACAGTGGAGATCCTACGTCGTATTGATTGAGGCGGTTATTAAACTCCTTTCTAAAAGTCCCACATCGGTAAGACATAGAAACGTTACTATAACCTTAGCGCTATAAAAGAGAAACGAAGCCCAACTCTCAACTCATACCTTTCTCGGCCTTTTGGCTAAGATCAAGTGTAGTATCTGTTCTTATCAGTTTAATATCTGATATGTGGGCCATCGGCCCGCTCGATATTAACTCTATTTTTTAAGGGAGAAAGCCCATTAAGTTAGCTTGCTAACTGGGTTTTCACGAGTCGCCCATGCCTTACACTACCGCATGGGCCTGGCTCAGCCCACCAAAATCGACAGTTAAAAATCTTAAATCTCATAATTAAATTTAATTAATCTGGACAATAACTGATAAGTAGTTTTATAAATTAATCACTCGAAGGAAGAAGAGACGAAGATGGCGAACCCTAGGAGGATAGTGACGGAGAATCACCACAGATTCTCACCGTTAATCAACCTCCTGAAGAAGCCTCAAGCGTTTCCTCTGCTCCTCTCCTTCTTCCTCTTCCTCACGTGGATCACTCTCAGGCTACAACACTCTTCTTCTCACCTCTCCTCGTCTTCTTCGCATTCAAAATCGGCAGTTAAGAGCCGTCGTAATCATCTTAATCCCGATTCGGAAGTTGTAGACGAAGACGATAAGGCTAATCTAGTCCGGTTCGATACGACGTCACTTTCGGCGGTTAGAAAAGACGATCGTGGATGGTTGCTTGATCCCGTGGCTCTTGCTCGTGATTCTCGGCTCCACGGTTCGTTGCTTGTAACTGATTCGGTTAGGTTTCGGTTTTGTTTTGCAATTTGCAGTGATTTGTGTATTGAAACAGTATCTTTAGTGGTTGGTGAAGATTGGTGGATTGGTTTTAGGTTTAGTTGGTAAGGCTTAGTAAGTGACTGTAGAGTTTATAAATAGGAATTTTGATTAAGAAGTGTTTAGTTTGTTGAGTGATTATCTTTAGAGGTTTGTGAAGATTACTGGATTGGTTTTAGGTTTAATTGATGTGACATAGTAAGTGACTGTAGAGTTTATTAAATAGGAATTTTGATAAGAAGTGTTTAGTTTGTTGAGTGATTATCTTTAGATTATTGTGTAATCAAAGGTTGCTGGAGATTTTACTTTTTTTGGTTTTTGGTGTTTTTTTTTTGGTTTGTGAGTGCAGGTGGAGCAGAGTCGTGTGTTTCGATTCATGTTGGTGAGATCAAGCCTGGTGAATTGAGGGGAAACCATAGGCACCATACTTGTAATGAGACGTTTGTTTTATGGGGAGCCAAGACAAGATTCAGGGTAACTCTCATCATCCATGTCACTGATAGAGTATAGTTTAGAGTGTTATAGCCTGTTTGAAACCTCTTGTAGGAAAAGAAGAGATATCTGTTTTTTTTGGTTATCTAAGTATACAATGCTTTAGTGGATGGTAAATAAGAAGAAGAAGAGAGAGTTCATAGATTGCATAACGCTGGTCTCTTTTACCGAGTATAATTCTCATTATCCATGTCACTGATAGAGCATCGTTTAGAGCATTATAGCCTGTTGAAACCTTTGGTAGGACGAGATATCTGTTTTTTTTTTAGTGTACAATGCTTTAGTGGATGGTAAATAAGTAAAAGAGAGAGTTCACAAATTACATAACTGTGCGTAGCATAACGCTGGTCTCTTTTGCTAAGTATAAGCAAGAGCACACTGGTATTTTGGTTGGTTTGAGGTTTTTTTGGGAGTGTTTAAGGGTCTCTAGAACAAACCGTAGAGTGGGTTTACTTATTTGGTCTTTGAATCTATCATAAAGATGGTGTGAGTATTGGACTAATATCATCAAGCAATTGCTCAGTGGTCATTGAAACAGCAAGTATCGTCTTAGAGTCTGCAAAAATAAAAAAATTACTATTCGTAGATGTTTAATGATGTAATAAATGGGCTCGTTTTACATAATAGAATCCTTTTTGTGATACATCTCTGTCAAAACGTCATCAATGTGACAGAGTTTATAGTTATATTAATATGAATCCGTGCAGCTGGAGAATGACAAGGTGGAAAAAGGCTACGCGGAAGTGTTAATTGGAGAGGATGAAGTAGCTGTAGCGGTTAGTCCGAGTGGCACGGCACATGCTATAGTAAATGTTGATCCTGTGCGTTCTACTTTCTTAATTGGCTGCCAAGACAGTAGTATGCACAACAGCTCAAGTAGCGACTACAAAGTATGGAAAGATCTTTAATCCATATCTTTGTTTTCGTTTCTTCATTTTGATTTTCATCACTTCTTCCAATGTAATCAGCTTCTCTGGTGTTTCTTTCTTTCGAGCTCTTATTTGTATAGAATAGGCTTTGTTTCTGTGATTATAACCCGGAAACTTCCATTGTCTAGTTTTCATTGACATGTTTCATGGTACTACATGCCTTACCGCTTTGATTACACGTGTGGGCCATTAAGATATCACCACTTAGACCACACAAATAAAAAATAACTACTCTGAACAGCATGCTCCACGCACAAGGACATGAATCTTAAAGAACACTCATAATCATGGCCTTTGTTTCTCATAGAGCGTCGTGCTAAGCTCCTAATGCCAATTTAGTCAAGGTTCAAATTTATTGAATCATTCATTGTTAAGTACGACACTGTTCCTGGACTGTTTAATATGTTTGTTTGAATATTTGGAGCAACAGAGATATTTTCAATGGAAGTACAGAATCTGAATTTAGAAGCTAATAAGACCATTATTTAACAATGCATTACGACTTTAATAAACTTAGTACATGTTAACAATGACTAAACCACTAAATAAACTGAAAAGAAGACGATAAAAAGACATTATGATGTCCATAGCTTATGATATACCGCATTTGTAAAAGCATTAGTGTTCCAGTACTTGTCATGTGCCAAATGGACCAGCCTTACAGAAAAAAAAGTGAAAAAAAAAGAAAAATATTAAAGAAAAGCAAAACATAAGTCACAAAAAAGTAAAATGTTCTAATTTTACCGTTGGGTGGAGTGTATAAAAAGTAATATTAAGCAAATGTGAATTTAAGGTTTTCAGTCATAGAGAGAAAAAAAAAACATAAGAGTATGAAGAAGAAGAAGAGTAAACGAGAGAACTTGCTTTCTCCTTCATCTTCATGGCGAGAAAACCATAACCCTCCTCGGAGAAACTCAAACTCCTCCGCCGTCTCCTCCTCCTCCGGCTGCCTCCCCGGATTCTTCAACCTCTTCCTCTGCACCTTTAACTTCTCCTCAAACCGCCGCAAATCCATCACCTTAGGATCCAAGAAACAACAAGAGCAAAGAACTGTCGTCTACGCTTCTCCTCCAGAAGATGATGCATCAAACGGCGAGCCGCCGCTTCCACGCGATGAAGGAGTGGATGAAGAAGCAGCGAGGGTGAGTCTTGTGGGAGCGTTGGAGAAATGCGATCGTGACTTAGAGGAGCTTCGGAAAACCATCAACGTTCTCAAAACCACTTACATTCTTAATAACAAGAAACTTGAGGTTTCACCAGCGACGGCGCGTGATGATTATCTCAAATTCTCCGACACCGGTGAGTTTTATTGGTTCACTCCCATATTATCAAACTACAGTATGTCTCATTAAGTTTATCGTCTAATTATTTGATAATTAATCACACAATCTAGTTACTAATATTAGGACGAGAACAATGTGTAAACTAAAGCAGCAACACATAGTGAAAAAGTATGAAAAGGACAAAGAGTTTTGCCTCTTTGGTGGTGGTGGTGGTGGTGGTGAGATCATGAGTATGTCCAATAGTGGAAGACAGTTTCATCATTATGATGTTAGTATCAAATAATAAAAATATTGATAAAAACAAATGTAACTGCTCTAACAATTTCATGCATGCATGGAATGTGTTATTTGTTTTGTGGTCACATTTGTCATTAGTTGAGTTCCTTTCAGAGTTTGTTGGCAATTGGGCTTGAGTTTGATGTTTAATTGTACCGAGTCAAAAAGGTAGGGGGAATAATCATACGTGAAGTTTAGTATCAGTCTAAAGTCTAAACTAACATCAATTTATGCTAAGTTAAAATGCAAAAGAGAGTAGAGAAAGAGACATGTTAGACAAATGATGAAGGAAGCTAGCAGCTTTAAGGGGCCTTTATACCTTTATTCATGAAGCCCACTTTTACTTTCTCATTATTTAGGCCCCCACCCATTATCTTTATTTATTCCTCATTCTGACCCATAAACTGTTTGATGGTACCAAATCAAGAATATCATTTTTTAAGCAAAATGATTGTACATAGCATGAATTGTATGTTGTTAGAATAAAACAATTTTTTAGATTTTTTCTGCAGCCTATTACATAGTTTGTGGTATTTCAAAACAAAAAGGTATTTTAAAAATATATTTTAATTATGGATAAAATCCAACTTTATAATATTGGTATATGCCTGGTCTTATTTTCATGTTTAAGACCAAAAATATACCAATATTATAAAGTTGGATTTCATCCATAATTAAAATATATTCTTAAAATACCTTTTTGTTTTGAAATACCACAAACTATGTAATAAGCTGCAGAAAAAAATCTAAAACAATTGTTTTTTTTACAGACAATAGACGATTTAGACAACAATATATTTTTTTTTGTTTTGACAACGATAATGATAAAATGGATAATACATTTTTAAACCCAGCTTGTCATATAAACTATTTTATTTGCTTAATAGTGACAGGAGATGCCGTCGTGGGGACGCAAACGAATAAGAACACAAAGACGACACTACATCAAACGGACACTGACACAACAATGTTGTCTACGATGATGAAGGATCACGAGTACAAAGACAACACAACCTACAAAGTCAACCACATTAATCTAATCTCTAGACCCAACCATTACGCCATGCACGACGTCATCTCCAACAGAGCAACGACAGAGTCACGTGACACGGCGCCAATTATGGAAAGCGTGAACCAGGTTTGTGAGGACGTAGCATCTGGTCAACGAAGAGAAGTGGCTAAGATCGGTTTGGCACTTCATGACCATATCTGTCGGGACTTGATTTCGGAGACCGTTCACGAACTATCATTGTTCTCTCACTACGACGAGGATGACATGTGTCATAAGTTGACGGTGGATTGTTACGGACGAGGAGGTGGACGTGGACACGTCAGACGTGGAAGTACCAATTCACTTCCGCTCGACGCATGTAGAAGAAGATTAGTGTTCTGATATTGTGATCGATCTTTGAAGTTCTTTGTATGTCTTAATTAGTCATATGACAGTTTTCACCGATAACACGTTTTGTAGCTCATATTTTCTAATTTTCTTGGACTAATCCTTCATATATTAATTGAGAAAAATTATCTTGTCTTTGTAAGTTATTAAATCTGCTGGTATATCATTTTCTCATGCACTCTCAGACTAAATATATAGAATATTTTCAATTACTAAAAAGATACTTAATATTTTGTCCGACCAAATAACAGTTAAACCTTTATGAAACATTTCATCTTTTTTTTTTAACAACATAGAAACATTTCATCTTTTAGGGCTCCAATGTGTACCTAGAACAATATGTACAAGTTATTATTATTAAAAAAATATCTGAGAAAATATCTGTGACATTGTTTTAAAGTCTGCAATGACTGAAACGAATTTTCTTAAAATCATTATACCAACTAGGTAAGGAACATGTACGATATCGCACGGAGACTCATTTTATAGAAATAAATATACCAAATTGTATAACTTATATTTAAAAGAAATAAAATTACTGTTTATTTTTTCCAATAAAGCCTCGTAACATATGTAAAATATAAATTACATGTGCCTATATTTATTTATAAATGCTACTAACATTTTATATTGGTTTTAAAATTTCAGATGATAATTCAATTTAATATACCAATACTAATTTAAATAAATGTATATATATTATATAAATACGTACAATTTAATATATTTAAAACTAATTAAAAGACGCAAACAAATTTAAAACTAATCATTTACGAAACTAATAAGGTAAATTATAATGATGAATATGACATTCATAAATGATTTGAAGCTATGTAAAAATATATGTATAGTCAAAATATGATTACATGGCAACGTTAAAAGATCTTCTCCACTAACATGTTCTTTTTTTTTGTTAAATTACACATGCATTTTTTTTCTTCATTATTTGTATCTTTTATAAAATTATACTTTTTCTATATCAGTGTTGGATGCATTTATATGCAGCTATGCAGATATGAAATCTCTATTTTCTAGAGAAACATAGACAACTCAGAGATCAAAATTCTTTGATATTCATCATATATTAGTACTAGATGCACCTATGCATAAATACAAAATTCCATATTTTTCTTATTTATCTTGAAATTTGTGGGCTAACCCCCACAAAAAGATCGAGTTTTTCTGATAAATGCTATTTATACTTAAATTTACCCTCTTTAGAGTTCTTTAAAATATATAACCACATTAAAAATTTATACTAAGTATCCTAAATTTATTTTTATGTTACATGGGCAGCAGTTATAATTTTATAACAAGTAATTTAATAAAACTTCATATACCACGTAAATCAAAGAACTAAAGTTTATGAAATCTCTATATTTTAGAGACTTGGACAACAAAGGTGTCAGACATCCTAAATCTTCATCATATATTTGTGCTGGATGCATCTATACATTAAAATAAAAGTATCATATTTTCTACTTTATTTTCAAAATCTGTAAGTTAACCCCCTACAAAAAGATCAAATTTCCCGATAAATGATATACTGAAGTTTAAGCTATTTCATGTTGACTATAAAAAAACTAATCACATTATACATTTACACTAATGTATGTTAAACTTATTATCATGGTACATGAATATCATTTCTAATATTTTAATGAGTAATTTAATAAAAAAATTAATTCCACCTAATTCAATGGACTAGCTTCTATAGAATCTGTACTTTCTGGAGAAACGGAGAAAAATAAGGTCTCAGACCTCTTTAATTTTCATCACATGTCATTGCATGATGAAGTTATGCATGAAATAAAAGATTATATTATCTTACGAAAAGATTGAGTTTTTTTCCAAAAATGTTATATACTAAATTTTAGCTTCATTAATGTTTTTAAATACTTAACCACACTTCTAATATATATTAGTGTATGCTAAACTTATTTTCATGGTACATCGACATCATTTATATTTTTCGAACAAGTAAATTTTTAAAATTTCGTATACAACCTAATTAGTGTACTAACCCCTATAAAATCTCATTTTTCTAAATAAATTTTAACACTGAAGGTTTCAAAAACTATTTAATTAACATATGATGTCAGTAAAAACATTATATTCATGGTACATGGGCAGTATTTTTCCAATGATTAATTTATTTAACATTCATATAACACTTAATATGTTGATTAACCCCTATAAAAATTCTATTTTCTGAAGAAATAAAGACATTTAAAGTCTCAAACCTATTTAAACCTCATACTATATCGGTATGATGCAGCTAAGCGTTGAAACAAAATACTATATTTTATAATTTATGTTGAAATATGTGGGTTAACCCCTATGAAAAAAAATGAATTTTCCGATAAATAGTATATATTTTATTTAGCATCTTCTGTGTTCTTTAAAAATACCCAAACCACAATCCAAATTTATATATATATTTTATAAAAATTATATTCATGGTACATGGGAAGCAGTTATAATTTTCCAGTGAATAATTTATTTAACATTCATATAACACTTAAAATGTGGATTAACCCCTATAAAACGTTATTTTATGGAGAAACAGAAACATTTAAAATGTCAAACAAATATAATCTTCTTACTATGTCGGTGTATGATGCAGATATGTATTAAAACAAAATAATATATTTTATTATTTATTTTGAAATATGTGAGCTAACCCCTACAAAAAAACTAAATTTTCCGATAAATAATATATATTTTATTTAGCATCTTCTATGTTGTTTAAAAATACCAAACCACAATGCAAATTTATAAATATATTTTCTAAACTTATTATCATGGTACATAGGCAGCATTTATAATTTTCCAATGATTAATTTATTTAACATTCATATAACACTTAAAATGTGGATTAACCCCTATAAAAACTCTATTTTAAGGAGAAATATAAACATTTAAAATCTCAAACCTATTTAATCTTCATATTATCTCGGTGTATAATGAAGTTATTCATTAAAACAAAACTTTTATATTTTATGATTAATTTTGAAATATGTGGGTTAACCCTTACGCAAAAACTGATTTTTTTGATAAATACTATTTAGAATCTTCTGTGTTGTTTAAAAATACCAAAATACACTCCAAATATATATAATATATATATATATATATATATTATAAATTTATGTTCATGGTACATGGGGAGCATTTATAATTTTCCAATGATTAATTTATTTAACATTCGTATACCACTTAATATGTGGATTAACCCCTATAAAAATCCAATTTTCTGGAGAAATGGAAACATTTAAGGTCCCAAACCTATTTAATTTTTATACTATGTTGGTGTATGATGCAGCTGTGCATTAAAATGAAAATTCTATTTTTTATAATTTTTCTTGAAATATGTGAGTTAACCCCTACAAAAAAACTGAATTTTCCGATAAATACTATATATGTTATTTAGGTATTGTATAAAAAAACCTAACCACACTCCAAATTTTTATATTTGTTTTCTAAACTTATATTCATGGTACATGGGCAGATTTCTATTTTTCCTATGATTAAGTTTCAAAAAATTCATATAGCACATATTATGTGGATTAACCCCTATACAAACTCTATTTTTGAATAAACGGAAACATTTAAAATTCAAACCAATTTAATCTTCTTACTATGTCGGTGTATGATGCAGCTATGTATTAAAACAAAAGTACTATATTTTATAATTTATTTTGAAATATGTGGGTTAATCTCTATGAAAAATTGAATTTTTCGATAAATAGTATATATTTTATTTAGCATCTTTTGTGTTGTTTAAAAATAACAAACCACAATCAAAATTTATATATATATATATATTATAAACTTATATTCATGGTATATGGGAAAAATTTATAATTTTCGAATAATTTATTTATTTAACATTCATATAACACTTAATATGTGGATTAACCCCTATAAAAACTCTATTACCTGAAGAAAATGAAACATTTAAGGTCTCAAACCTATTTAATCATCATACTATATCGGTGTATGATGCAGCTATGCATTAAAATAAAAATACTATATTTTATAATATATTTTGAAATATGTGGGTTAACCCTTATGAAAAAACTCAATTTTCCGATAAATATTATATATTTTATTTAGCATCTTCTGTTTTGCTTAAAAATACCAAACCACAATCCAAAATTATATATATTTTTTTTAAACTTATCTTCAAGGACATGGGCAGCATTTATATTTTTCCAATTATTAATTTATTTAACATTCACACAACACTTAAAATGTGGATTAACCCCTATAAAAACTCTATTTTATGGAGAGAAAACATTTAAAATCTCAAACCTATTTAATCTTCATACTATGTCAGTGTATGATGCAGCTATGCATTAAAACAAAAATATTATATTTTATAATTAATTTTTAAATATGTGGGTTAACCCTATGGAAAAACTGAATTTTCCAATAAATACTATTTATCATCTTTCGTGTTGTTAAAAAATACCAAACACACTCCAAATTTATATATATATTTTCAAAACTTATATTCATGGATGGGCAGCATTTCTAATTTCCAATGATTAATTTATTTAACATTCATATACCACTTAATATGTGGATTAACCCTTATAAAAATCATAGTTTTTGGAGCAACGGAAACATTTAAGGTCCCAAACCTATTTAATTTTTATACTATGTTGGTGTATGATGCAGCTATGCATTAAAAATAAAATTCCATTTTTATAATTTTTCTTGAAATATATGGGTTAACCCCCTACGAAAAAACTAAATTTTCCGATAAATACTAATTAGCAACTTACGTGTTGTTTAAAAATACCTAACCACACTCCAAATATATATATATATGTTTTCTAAACTTATATTAATGGTACATGGGAAGATTTCTAATTTTCCTATGATTAATTTTTATAAAATTCATATAGAACCTAATATGTGGATTAACCCCTATAAAAACTCTATTTTCTAAAGAAATGAAAAAATTTAATTTCTCAAACCTATTTAATCTTTACACTATATCAGTGTATGATACAGCTATGCATTAAAAAAAAATTTCATTTGTTATTTTTTTCCAGAAATATGTGGGTTAACCCTTATGAAAAAACTGATTTTTCTGATAAATAGTATA